CCAGCATCGAGTGTCAATGCAGCGGAGGGAGTTTCGGGCATACCAGCTGGACACGTGCAGCAGCAGTCTGCCACCATCACGACCAAAGTGGCGGGCTGGACTTTCACGCTCACGGTTAGGCCACCGAGTTGAGCCACAAGACACCAGGTCTTATGGTGGCCAGGCACGAGCTTTCTGCAGAGCTAGCACCACAGGTGCAAATGACAGCTGTCAGTTCTCTGCCGTCTCTTCCTGTATGCAGACTTGTCGTTTTGTGCCCAGCAGCCTCTCGAGTTGGACTCACAAAAGACGTGCTGTCTTTGTCAGCGTGCTAGTACTGACACCTCTTCGGAGCCAACTGTCACTGCTATCTTGGACTATCCTCCATGCTGACTGTACTGCCCAGGCCGTCCTCATGGCAGACTTCGATGACTTCGCGAAGGCTCCAGGTCAGCGGCGCCCCCCATCTGCACTTGGCGCACCCCTGCCTAACGATGCTCGCCACAGGTATCAGGTCCCTCGAGACGCCCACTTCGGTGTTCTTCTTGCCCACCACGGGGCTTGGATCTCAGTCTTGCTGCTGCAACCCGTGCTCAGCCAACATGAGACTCTGCCGCACTCTTGTATGCATCTTGCAGCCCCACCATGTGGTTACCGCGTGTGTCTGCAGCTTTCCACAAACCAAGCCTCATTGAAGACTCTGGAAGAGTATGTGGTACCTCAGCAGCCTGCCACTACTTCTGCCCGCCTTGCATCCCTTAGGGCTGGGAGACCTCTTGCAGAATACTCGCAGGTACCTTCTCCACAACTTCTTAAGTCAAAGGACTACCCTGTGTTAACGTGCCCTACCTGTGCCCTTCGAGGGATCATGGAGCCAGCCTCCGAGCATAGCTGGCCACATTGGCAGGCAGCACTCGTCCCGCTTACAGTGGGGACCGAAGTAGAGGTGATCGACGGTCACAGACGTCACCTTGTCGGCCGCCGAGCGATTGTGCTCCCTACCTTGGAGTGTGACCGCAACACCACGCGGAATGTGCGGATGATACAAGGCCCTCGAGATGAACAACGTCGTATTTTTACGATCGACAAGGAGCACCTCGTTCCCCGACTGGGGTTGGAAGCCACACAAGCTTCCATGTGTGATGGAATGGAGTCGAGTCTGAGGTGGAGATGTGCTCCCCCACCATTAACCATCTACAGCGCACGCTACCTTCTTGGCTACCAGGCCCTGGAGACCATGGTGCCTCCGGCGGCACCCAAACGGAGTCCGGCTGGCCACTATATCCATCCCCCGGTGGAAGACGCTTCGCTGGAGGCACCCTGGGAAAAACACGTTGACCCAGCTAGCGATCGGTCCTTCTACTACCACCCGGGGACAAAGCAGGTGACTTGGCGCAAACCACGGCCTGCCCTGGTCCTTCCGAGGGAAGAGGAGATTGGGCCCACCAAGCCCAGGCGAGGCCGGTCTGCGATACCACAGCCTCGCACTCCTAGTCCACCTCCTCCCAAGAGGGTGAGAAAGCATCCCACCACTGATGCTCGGCAGAGAACTACGAGCTCTGAGGCCCAGTCGTCAGCTTCTACCGCAGCCAAAGGGGCGCCAACTACAGAGAGGAAGCCCGCTCCGGCCTTTGATCCTCAATCCTCTGGTGGTCCTTCTGAGTGGAACCTGGCAGATCATGCTTTACCTGCCTCTCCAGATCGGGTACTGATCTGGGGAGCCAAAGCCAGGTCACAGCTACCACAACCGCCGAGTGCTCCTGCCTGTGGAAAGATTTCTGCAGAGCTTCTTCAGGACACGGCAAGGCCCAGATGGCACATCCCTTGCCACCTTACTTGGTGACCCAGTCCCGCAACCTGATGGTTGGTGGCGTATCCCGTGGACACCGCTGGAACCATCGCACTGCGAGCTGTTGTGTCAGGATGGTTGGCTACGGGGCTGGCACGGATGCAAGATGGAGGCACTATACTCCATCATCTACCATGGACAGCTTCTCCCGAGCACCGATGAGTCGAAGGGTGACAGGTTCCTGGCAGGCTGTCCAGGGGTGTATCTGCACCGAGACAGCCTGCAACACAAGGTGGAGAACTACATGAGATGGATACCACTATGTGGAGATGGTCTCTTTTGGGCTGCCAAGTGGGAGGTGGTGTATGCTCCCTCGGGGAGCAACAAGCATGGCAAGCGCACTGATCAGGTTATACAAAGTGCTGAATCGGTGGAGCTGGTGGCCCTCTGGCTCTCAGTGCGCTCCGAGAACATGCTGCCTGACGGAACTGCTGTGCAGGCCAAATGGACTCCAGCACGCGAGGCCAACCCATGCCTCACTGAGCTCAAGCGAAGAAGCAGTGCTCCGTTACAGACTGTGGATTTCACGGAACTGTCTGCCTCTTCCAGGCCTTTGCCCAGCTCCAGTTTGAGGTCTGACCCGGCGATCGACGACAAAGGCCGACTCAAGCCGACGCCTAAAGCACGCGGTCGCTTGTCGCACATCCCTTCTGAACTGGAGAAGGACCGGACGCCAGCACAAGCGAAGCTCACCATACAGTCGGGCAATCTGGTGCTTAAGTCGGCCACGGCAAATAGCTCGGAGACTCCCACTGCTTCGACTACGGTTTCGGCTGCTACCTCGGCCGTCCCGTCAGATTTACCTCAACGAGGACCCAAACGGGCTCGATCTGACGCTTCCTCTCCGAAACCACGGAAGATGCAGACAAGGCCCAAGCCGAGACGATCGATTTGGTTTGATGTCACGGACAATCCGGCTGACCAACCACTTTCGACCTCCTCAACTGCAGCCAAAGGCCGTGGCACTGGGACGATCAAGGCCGCCAAGCTCCAAGAACGTGTCCGCAGAAGGATGGCCAGGAAGATGGAGGAAATCTTCGCCAATAGAGCCGCTGGACTTCACACGGACTCAGCTGCCTCATCCAGTGCTGCATACAAGGATCCAGCCTGCTGTTCATCATGTCCACGTCTGCATCGGCTTAGCCAGTCTTGCAAGAGGCAACACATGCCCCCTTCACATCGACCTGCCATGCTCCTTGTCTTCGCTCTTCTAAGGTCTAGCCTACCGGCGGCTCCGCCAGACCAAGATGATACAGGCGGGGATCGATTTACTGAGCGCCCGGAGTTGCAGACCTCTGCACCTAGGCTCGGGCAGCCACCTAGGTGGGTTCCCTGCTCACAAACCTTTGTTGCTTCCTCCACCAGCCACTGCCTGCAACATTTGTGGCTATCAGGCTTGTATCTTCCGACATGTCGGATGCCCGACGGCACGCCCGGACCCTTGCAGGTCCCTTCGTTAATCTACTGGGGCTTTGAAAGGCACCTGAGCTCTTTTCCATGTGCCTATCCAGGCCTTGAACGCCCAGTGTGCACATCCACGACAATGCCAGTCGGGCTCACATGGACCTACGGTGCCTCCCCACACCGTGATGATTATCGATGTGCCGTGCCTCGAGGTATGTCAGCTGCACTGGCAACAGGCCCTACTTTGCTGTATGCTTATTGTACTCGTGATGTTTGCTCAAGACATCACACCTGGCAGGGGTGGCCAGACGCTTTCCTGACTGATCGACCTGAACATTGTCTGGTGTGCCTTCGACACACCAGACCATCTGCTGCTGGTCCTGCTTCGGTACGATGCCCACCTCCACCACCAGGAGCTGGTTTGCAACCCGACGGGCTCTCAGGTTTTGAGACTGCCACTCCCAAACGGCTGCTAGCTCCATCTCGCGGTTCCCTTAGCTTGCCTTCAGGTCTGTCTTCGCCATTGGGCGCAGGCCAGTGGGTCGAGCAGGCCTCACTTCGGGACACCCACCTGTCCAATTTGTGCAGGATATCCCGGGCACGTGGCTGGCCTATCGTCTGGCGGACCCATGCTGTGAGTGGTGTCGGCTTGAATACCGTAGATGTACCCCCTATGCCACCCGTATGCAACAAACTAGCACCTCGCAGGCTAACAAGATCAGATCCCGCGAGCCTGTTTCTGCCGAGCAGTTGCAACCCAAAGTCTCCCCCCCGGCACTGGACCTGCACACTATGGATTAGCTGCGTAGACAGTCTGCTGCACCGCACTTCGAAGTCGATGCCAGCATTTTTGACAACATGGACAACTAGCACTCTCAAGTGCCCCTCTCATAATCTCAACATACCTGCCCTGAGCCACTCCGGTCCCAATTCCGGAGACCGACATTTTCGTACGGCTGACAACCTGTCATCTCTCAGACACCAGCTGGTTGTCCATCTAGCCTCCGAACAGTCGGTAGGGGCGAGGGTTGTGAGCGGCTGCCACCCGCTCACGAGACCGAAACTCACCTTCGTGGTGAGGGACGGGAAGCCGTGGCAGGAGCCCAATGAAGTACACTCTGCTGTGAGGGCAGTCTTGCGAGACCCCCCACAAAACTACACTATTCGCTCTGACCTAGGAGTCACTCTAGGCACTGCCTGTTCCCCTAGCCTGACCTCCTCTCCGTTCTCAGTCCTCTGTTCATCGTGGGCTGGTCAGAGCGACCAGACTGCAGGCCCCTGTGGCGTGCCAAATAGCATGGACAAGCTGCTGCCAGGATATGCTCCACCGCAGTCAAAGCCCCGGTATTTCTTCCTCTACAAACAGGGTCTCCCTGTTCGTCTTGTTGCCATCTGGGCTCCAGCACTTCTACATCTTACCTCTCCTGGCCTTCCTCGCTCTAGGAGGCCTCTCCCTGGAGTACAAACACCAACACCTGCCACTCGACCTATCCACACTGCTGACAGGTATTGCCCTCCGTCGACTACGAATCGATCCAGTCAGACCCCGGGCACGACGACGTACCCCAGGCTATGCCCTCGCCCTATCCTGTTCCTCTCGACTCTGCTAGCCCTCCCAAGGTCGATCTGGGGAGTGCCATCTGCACACCCCCTGCACACTACAGTAGCGCGTCACTCAGGGACCCTCAATCAGGCTACCGTCAATTCCAATGAATACACATTTGCCAGGAAGAGATCCTACAAACGTGCCTTACGTCGTGCTGCACAGGACCAGGCCCAGCATACGATTTATCGAGGTCGTGTCTGTACTCTGCAACAGCTTTGCAAAGGCTATCGGGGCCATCGACCCGCCCCCCAGGCTGAGCGTCGTATGCAGCAGGCCGCTCTGAAAGTCTCTCAGGGACGCCTGTTGTTCCTCTCATGGAATGCTGGAGGACTGTCCCAGGCCCTGTGGCAGGAATTCTTGTTAACACTTGAAAATATGCCACCTGACGAACGACCCCAGATCGTGTGTGTTCAAGAAACTCATTGGACGGAAAAGGTGGCGCCACAATTCCCCACTGCTACATGGGATGTGTACACCTCCCCAACCACAGACAACAAATCTGCCGGGCTCCTGATTCTTCTCAACAAGCATACTACCCGTAACTGCAGAATTGTTTACGCCGACCCACAACCGGGCAGGGTGCAACACTTGAGGATACTCCACGACCAATGGGCAGTTGACCTGCTGCACATCTACCAAAAGCCGCACAACTCTCATCCACTCGCACTGCAATCCTCCAAAACCATTCGCTTAGCTGTCTGGGAGTGCATTGGTAAGATCCTGGCGGCTCTGCCTGCCCGCAACACAGTGATCATGCTTGGAGATTTTAATACTCAGATCAAGCCGTGTGCCGCAGCCGGCACCAGGATCTGTTCAGGCACCAGCACGGGCACACATCCGCCTGATCAGGCACGGTTGCAGCATCTTGTTGAGGACTTCTCCCTCTTACACCTTAACTCATGGTGCAAGGCGGCTGGCCCCACGTACCATCACAACAAAGGTGCTAGCCTCATTGATCATATCATCATGCGTTCCAGCCAAGCAGATGATCGTGCTAGGCAGGCGAGACCTCTCCGCCTGGGACTGGCTGCCTGGAGACTTGGTGGATATCACCTACCACTGAAGGCCAGCGTCCCGCTTCAGCGCTTCCACACTCTTAACAAACCGGTGGCACCAAAACGAGCACGGTGGCACCAAAACGAGCATGGGACCATTGGGGCCTGATTCAGGTTTGCCGCTCTACCTGGGATCCGCGGGTTCAAAGTCTGCGTTCTGCTGTTCAGGCGTCCCTGCCTGGGGTCAATGACCTTGGGCAATTGCATGACACTCTGATCCACTGTGCATCCCAATTTTTCCCGCCGCCCGCAGGACAGCATCGGCTGGCACTATGGCAAACACCGCCTATGCAGGATGGTATTCGCTCCATGTGGCAGGCCTACCGAGTCTGGAAGACAGCCAAAGCTCAAGATCAGCACAATCCGCTTTATGTCTCCAGGTGCTATCATCACTTCAAGACGGCACACAAGGCCTTTCGTCGTGCCGGGAAAGAAGCCAAGAAGCACTGGTTCCATGGCAGGCTCCAGGAACTACAGGCTGCTGCCAGTTCAGGTGACTCCCGCAAGCTTTATGCTGGCATTCGCACACTAGCTCCCAAATCCTCCAAGCCGAAGGTTCAATTGCGAGATTCTGGTGGACATCTGCAAGACCCCAAGACCCAGCTTAAACAGCTGGAAACGCACTATCGCAAATTATATGCTGCAGACGAGGACACCAGCATCCAGGGCCCCCAGCGGACGCCCATTCACATTGAAGTCACGGAGGCAGAAATGACCCTGGCACTTTCGCAATTGTCACCCCACAAAGCTACACCTCCGCATCTAGCCACAAACTCTCTATGGAGGCTGACCTCGGACCTTGTTGCGCCTCTCTTGTGCCAATGGTGCCGGCAATGGCCTCAAATACCTGAGCTTTGGCGAAATGCATGGTTGACTCTTGTTCCCAAGATTCCGCGACCACTTTCACCAAAGAATCTCAGACCGATAGGGTTAACTGAATCCAGTGGCCGCGCATATGCTTCCATACTGCAGGCGAAATTGCGCCCCTATGCCGAGAGGTTCCTTGCGGATCAGGCACAATTTGCATATTTGCCAGGTCGCAATGCTGCCCAAGCCATACATCGGGTTGCTGCACACTGCAAATATGTCCAGGATCGCTGCTCGATTTCAACACCTACGGTTGTTGATCGTCACGCTCAACAGCCGAAACCCTGCCCACATTTTGCAGGTGCACAACTATCGCTGGACCTGTCCAGTGCTTTTGACCTCATGGACTGGCGCCTGCTGGACAAGGCTTTACTTGCGTCCGAAGTTCCGGCTGAGCTAAGACACCAAATCATGTCCTGGCACTCTGAAATCTCCTATGTCCTTACCCACCTTGGACACACTGCCAAGGTGGAGGCCCAAAGAGGACTTAGACAAGGGTGTAAACTGGCTCCGTTGCTCTGGACCCTAGCCCTGGCACAGATATATCGTGAGCTTCTTGCCGAGGGGGACCCGCTCCTCACAGCACCTTGGCTAGAGCAAAGCTCCACGATTTATGCAGATGATATACACCTCAAGGATACTGTGCAGACCACTCGTGAGCTGGACGACATGGTGTATCGCTTTAGTAAGATCCTCGATGCTCTTGCCGCCCATGGTATGGTCATCAACTCGGCCAAATCAGCATTGCTACTGAGACACAAGGGCAGTTTCATCAGAGGCTGGCTGCGCCGACACCTCATACCCAAACCCGAGGGGGATCTACTCCGCTTTCGCAGCCCCCTGGGAACGGTGTATGAAATTCCGTTGCGTGACCATCACACGTACTTAGGCATACGCATCTCATATCATTCACAGGCCAAACAAGCAGTCACCTATCGGCTACAGGCTGCGAACCAGGCCTGGCAAAGACTCCGTGGTGTACTGTGCTCCACCAGGCATCTTGCTCAGACACATCGTCTCAGTCTATGGAAATCCACAGTGCTTCCCACGCTGCTCTATGGCATCGCGGCATCCAATCCAGGTGCCAAGGACATCCAGCGTATGCAGCACATGATGACCAAGCAGGTTCGAGCCATCACCCGATCCTTTGCACATCTTCAGAAAGAATCCACACAGGACCTTTTGCACAGATGCTCCCTGTCCACCATCTTGGAGCATCTGCAGAGGGAAGCCGCTGCCTTGCATCGTAGCCTGACCAGCCTGAGCACTGAAACGAGCTTCGTGACCCAAGCCCAGGTGGAATCAGCTCGAGACACTGCCGCTACACTCCACCTTCAAGTGCAACGTCAATGGCAGGTACCTCTTGGGGACACAGAAGGCATCACTGACCCTGCCGTACACCAGTGCCAGGAATGTCATCGGGTCTTTACCTCCTTTCGGCTCCTCCGCTCTCACGAGGCTAAGTGGCATGGACTCAAAACACCTGCTGCTGTCCCGGTGCCTTTTGACAGGTATGCACATGGAACAGAAGGACTTCCAACGTGCAGACACTGTGCCCATCCCTTCCGACAATGGGACGGCCTCGTCAAGCACATTAAACGCAATCGGTGTCAGGTACTCCGTAGACTTGCTACACAACCTCCTGCCGATGCCCCACCCTTGGCTCCGAGCTCCAATGAATCCGATCCTTTACCAGTCCCTGCCCCGGCTATCCTGCCACCTCAGGACCTCTCTCAGGGGACCTACATCCTGTCAGACGATCAGGCTGCTATGCCCCCTCCTGCTCCTGCCGTTATACCTGAACCCCCTGTCTTAGACGCTCCCCTGCAGGACAGCTCCACTACGCCGAGCCATGAGGCTGTTCCTCTTCATCAACAATCTCATGTTCTTGAGACACTACGTGCACGCAGGTGGACTGACCTCCTTGAGAAACCGGAGATCTACTCGTATCTCCAGCACCACTGCCCGCTGTGTTACCAGTGGCTAGCCACTCCTACCAGCATCAAGTATCATCTCACCATGCAACATCCAGAGTGGAAAGACTGCCAACCTGCGACTCTCAAGCTTCTTACTGGTTTCCGCCGACATACTGTTGTTCCATGTCGCTACTGTCATCAGCGAAACATCAACAAAGATCGTCATTGGAAACAGTGTCATGTCTTGCATATCTGTGCATTTCTAGCAGCGCACCATGACGCTCGGCGCGGATCCCATGGAGCTGGACGAACAGGAGAGGCAATTTTGGGCCCAGGCCGGTCCGGTCAAACGGGAACAGGAACCGAGAAGAGATGTGCTGCATCAAACCGAGCACTCCAAGAGGCAGCGTCTGGCACCACAGGACCGGAACAAAGGCAAGGGCAAGGGTACCAAGGGCAAAGGCAAGGGAAAGCAGGGCCTACCAAGTCCATCCAGTGCCAACCCGGTCACGGGTTACACAAATGGTTTCGGAAGCCATCCACCCAATCCCTGGACACAGACTCAGGACCTGCAGCCACTGGGAAGTCAAGATCCAGACTGGATGGAGTACAGGATGAATCGACTATCTCAGCTGGTCCTTCGTCAGGAGCAAATCATCTCAGCCATCCGTCAGGATCTGGTCCTCTACCTCTTTGTACGATCAGGGCCAGAAGGGATGGTACCAGTTCTCTGCGAAGCAGCGGAGAAGTGGAGGAAGATGAAAGAGGAAGAACCCGAGAAGATTACTTACTCCCTCAAACTCATGCTCTTCAAGCAGCTGCTCATCACCCTACACCAGAGGTTGACCAACATGATCGCGGACGAGGATGCTCTCGCCAAAGCCAAGAACCTGAACTGGATCGACGATCAGAAACATTGGAAACATCTTACATGGAATCCTACCAAACAATGTCTGGAAGTCGACAACTCGGTGAGGCCAATACCGGCGGAAGATCTGTTGGCTCAACTGGTTCAGATGAGGAAGGCAGTTACGGAAGAGACCCTGGTGAGGTTCAAGTCCATGCGGAAGCTCACCACGGAGGTGACCTCCGACTGGATTCAATTCCAGATCTGCATGTCACTTCGCCCAGAGGGAGGAGCCATGTGGAGCACGCTGAACCAGTGGATCGGACAAGCATCGTGGCACACCCTGGGATGCAGGCTCCGTCGCGATCGACCGAACTACGACACCCTGGTCCAGGAAGTGTGGCAACATCAGATGCCATACTGAGTGCGCGCCCTAGTCTCAAGGCTGTCCTTCGATTGATTTTCCACAATCCATCAAATCTGTGCTACCTACACTCTACCATCTATGCCCTTCTGTGGACAATCCTTCAGGCTAGGCTGCATGATGCCTACGTCTCGCCTCCACCGCAGGCTCTTACCATGCTGTGTCCACCAATCACTGCCACACCTAATTGCCCCATTCAGGTGCTCCATTCGGTACCGTGGCTTATGCTGCTGCAAGCTTGGCCTTCTGTACATCGTCAGCATGATGCAGCTGAGCTGTTACAATACCTCTTACCCAGGTTCTCGCATAGTGGGTTCAATGGTGGCTGGGAGGCCAGAAACTTCGTACCTGGAGGTATTGCCACTCTTGACAAGGGGCCTACCCAAGCTCCCATCCCGATTGCGCTACCGGCAGGTCCAAGCTTGGAGCTCCAAGCAGCCATTGATGGGTGGAGTGCTCAGGTTACAGCTCGTTATGCACTGCTGACTCCGTCTCCCATGCTCTGCATACAACTTCAGCGCTTCACAAATGCCGAGGGAGTCATGCGCAGGGACACCAGACCACTGGTTGTGGCCTCGACTACAGTTCGTATGCCACTCTTTACAGGTCTGCACACTATGCAAGTTCGCTATGTTCACTACCAGGTCGTCGCTGTACAGCTTCACTACGGGGCCACTCCTGATATGGGGCATTACAGAACTATCCTACGAGGACAACCGCTGTTTGGAGCAGAAAAGTGGTGGATCACTGATGACTCCTGCACCGCAAAGCCAGTCAGCACAGAACACGATGACAACATATACATAGTGTGGCTACGTCAGGTACTACCTCCTGGTGCCTGACGCTGAGCAAGTGTAGTCTTAGTCGATGGAGCTGGCACTGCCCTCCAGAACCCAAAAGAGGTTCCGATACCCCGAAAACCGGGTTATCGTCAGCTCGCTAGGCGAACCCGGACACTTCGCTGCGTGGTGAATGAATGCTACTGCTACTGCGACTACTACTACCTGCTACTAGTACTACTACTACTACTACTACTACTCCTACTACGCCTACTACCACTACTACGACTACTACTACTACTACTACTACTACTGCTACTGCTACTGCTACTGCTACTACTACTACTACTACTACTACTACTACTACTACTACTACTACTACTACTACTACTACTACTACTATTTTTTTTCATTCCAATCGCAGCCGGTCACTCAGCTTGGCGTCAGGTGCGTGGCAGTGCTTAGCACCGGTGCTTCAAGAGCACTGAGACCACATGGGCAAGTTCCGCTACGAATAGCTGCAAACTTGCGACCTACTCAACATGTCAAGAGAAGGCCGTGCAGCTAGGCACAAGCCTCAAAATCAACAGCCCATAGCTGTTGACTACTACTACTACTACTACTACTACTACTACTACTGCTACTCCTACTACTCCTACTACTACTTCTACTACTACTTCTACTACTACTACTACTACTACTGCTACTCCTACTACTCCTACTACTACTTCTACTACTACTACTACTACTACTACTCCTACTACAACTACTACTACTACTACTACCACTAGTACTACGATTAGGACTACTACTAGTACTACTACCACGACTACGTTCATGACTACGACTACGACGACGACTACTATCTTCATTGTCATCTGATTCCTGTTCTTTTTGTTGAGGTTGCCGTTGCTTCTGCTGCTGTTGCAGTTCTTCTTCTGGTTCATCTAGCAAGTTGTCAGCATTAGAAGCTCTTTTCACTAGTTTTGGTCAGAATCGCAATAGTAGGAATGAGAGAATATATATATATATATATATGTAGTTGTATATGGTGAACTGGAATGAATAGCACTAATGGGAACAATAGTAATCATCGTACTACTGTAATATTAATTAGGTGCTTTTTTCCTCCTTTTAGCCAGAATAGTAATACGGATCATAGTAGGAATCATGCTGTTGATGGACAAAACCCTGCATTACCCGTTATAAGGAATATGCCATAGTTCCCATAGTTTAGGGTCCTCAAGGTCATGCAGGATTTTGTCCATCAACAGTAGTAATATTGGTAAACCTATAAGCCCGCAACCTCCCAAAGTGGGGCCTTGGTTCGAGCGAGCTCCTGCACTGTGCTCTCGATATGACCTCAGCTGCCATAAGTTCTCATCGTTTTAGGGTTTAGCGTTTTAGGGGTTCAGGGTTCACGGGTTTAGGGTCTCGGTTTCTGGCCTAGCGATTTTCGATTTGCTGTTGATTTTGTTTTCTGACGGCTCTGTTCCTCCACGCAAAGCGGCTTCGGGGGTCACGGGCTTCGGGGGTTTCGGTGCTAAGGGTTTAGGGCTTTGTTGGTTTTTCATCTGAGGACCTGAATGCATCATCAGAGTATGGTTCTGGTGATTTTTTGTGGGGAGGGGGGTAAGTTATGCATCACACGTTAGAAAGAGTTATGTAGGGGTGGCAGTTAACAGCTGGCACTGCGTTTCTGCTGCCCTTACAGTGCTCAGGGTCATTCTTGCTATCCTCTTTGTGGTCAGAGTTGCACCTGTCGGGCCTTTGCACATCAAAACCTTGGACCCTAAATCCTAGAAAACTGCGCCGACGCGCTCGCCTGCTTTGTTCAAAAGACACGTTACCCTCGGATGCGCATGGCAACCGTAAAAATCCTAGAAACGTTGAAGTCCGAGGCGCCCCAGAAAGCTGTACATTCCTGGAGGATGTTGCTCACCGATCTGAGCTGATACCTTGGTTCCATGCAGAGCGCAACGACGTGTCGTGCAACGCGACCACTAGGCCGACTCTATCGCACAAGCTGTCCAGGCCCCCTTGGAGGCGCAGGCCAACGTTGCATATTCGTTCATATCTTTTTCAGCGCAAGAGTAGAGATCTATATCTACTCCCCAAACATGGAACTGAGCACTTGAAGGGCTTGCGGTTTAAGCGGCAGGATCGAAACTTCTTGAACATGACCCCAAGCAACTCTTGAGACGTAGGCCGAAGGGCAGTGCACGCAGCAACGGCACGTAGGGGGTGCTGTGGTAGTTTTGATACCGGTTCACCTCGCCTGACAGGGAAGCGGTAGATTGGGCTCTGTCGGCGCAAGGCTTTAGGTATAGGGTTGGCATGGGAGGCATACCGCCTATTGGTTCAAGTGTCGCGGGCTGTTCACATACCCAGAATAGCGAGCACCCATCCCCCGAACTGCAAAGTTCTACAAACCTTGAGCCCCCACGAGCCCCGAAGCCTCAACCCTAAGCCTAACCCCAAACCCCTATAAACCCACCCAAACCACTAACCCTCCCACCTCCCGTGGTGCAGAGCGCTAGCTCATTTGGGTCCTTCGAAGCCTCCGCCGACGGCTCTGCCGCAGCCGAGGGTTCCTGAGGCTTCGAACTTTGGGCTTGGTAAGGCTTAGGCTAGGGGTTCGGGTTTAGGGTCTAGGGGGTTAGGGTTTAGGGTTTAAGGGCTAGGGTTTAGGATTCAGCGGTTCGGATGTAGGGTCTATTGAAGTTGCCGCTGTTTATGGTATCTTGGGCTTGGCTCTATGGTTCCAGGGACCTTCTGCTTAGGGCTCAAGGATCCAATAATGAGGTCCCTAAAAGCATGGGGTCTGGTGTCTTGCACGCTCGATTATGGTTCATAGGGCTCATTCACTCAGTTGTATAGGTTGCAGCATGGAACCTCATTCTCTGACAGGGATCATGATAGTGTCCGCTCATAAGGCTAGCAGAAACCCATCTATCCATCCACCTCGCCTTGCCTCGACTAGTGTAGTCCAGTCGGGTGTATGATAATCTTCCAGTATCGTATAGGATAGTAGAATATGGAGTATACTACAGTATAGTAGAGAAGAATAGTAGAGGTTTAGTGCATTGTGTCAGTAGGGCAGGCCTAGCCCCAAGGATTTCAAACGATGTCAGCTCAAGCCTGAATGAGCCCTCCACTACTATCGCCACTTTGCCACAGCCCTGCGTTCTCAATCTGAACAACGAAGTCTATGTCAAGTCTAACTCCTATGAACTCTAAGCCCTAAACCTTAAACCCTCAACCCTAAACTCTGCAGACCAAGAGTCAGGGCTCAAGCTCTCAGGTGCCATGGACGTGGGCGTGGGGTCTGCCAGGATGCAGGGGGCACACACGGCGTTGAAGGCACCAACAAGCGGGCCACGTTGCCTCTTGCGGCTTAGGCATGCCTTTAGGCATGGCTTGCCTTTGCCTGTGTGCAGATGATAGGACTCTTGTAGGCGCGGCATGCACTGAAGGGGCTTTGCGGGTTTACCCGCGACTAGTGACGAGTGTGCTTGGCTCACGAACTGTTCCTTGTTTGTGGGAATAGTCATGAACTTTCCCTGCACCTGAATTTGGATCACGTATCCTTTCAGTGTCCGCATGCCATCCAGGAGACCCAACAAGCAACGGCCCTTATAGTCACCCCTGTGTTTAGCCCTAAGCCCTACCCCTGTACGCATTGACCCTACAGTGCCCCTTATAGAAACCTTTATATGAATACTAACTGTTACTGACCCCTAACCCCTAAACACTTGATAGTAAATCTTACAGTAAACGGCTGCCGTAACAACAAATCACCTACCCTCTTAAGGCCTAAAAGGGTGGGTTTCCTAGAAGCTAGGTATAGTTTGTCCTTGCCCTCTACATTCCCTACGATCCCTCAGAGTAAAAAGCATCCTCTCGCGGCCCCTGGTGCCTCCGGAGCTTCTCGTCTTCTGGTCGCGAAGCCTCGGATATAGCGGACGTCGGGTCGTGGTCTGAGCGTCCAACGGAGCCTACAATGGGCATGTCGGTTTAATAGGCTTATAGGGTTTATAGGGCTATAAGGACTGGGATAGGTTTGGGCCATCCGCAAGCGATGATACTTACGTCTTGTGGCTGCATTGCAAGGTCATGAACAGACTTCTTAAATTTGTCCGATTCTTGTCCGGAAGTCTGCGCCATGGCATCCGGGCCCGAAACCTCCAAAGGCAGGCCCAAGCACCTGCATCAAGGCCGGAACAAACCACTTATTGGGGAGTAGTATCACTGTATAGTTGATCCTTGAGCTGCATCTAATGTACAAAACCACCGCTTGGAAGTTGCACGCCGAACTGCATAGAATTCCTTCCAAGGGGTAGCGTATTTCATTGATACTAAAGGCCAAGCAGCTCCCGACTGGTCTCCCCAGTCTCTGCAGGGGCTTCCAAGGCCTGCATTTAGGCTTCCAGGTTTCGGGGTTTAGGGTTCTAGAGTTTTGGGGTTTCGGGGTTCAGGGTTTCGAGATTAGGCTTCCAGGTTTCGGGGTTCAGGGTTTCGAGATTAGGCTTCCAGGTTTCGGGGTTCAGGGTTTCGAGATTAGGCTTCCAGGTTTCGGGGTTCAGGGTTTCGAGATTAGGCTTCCAGGTTTCGAGGTTCAGGGTTTAGGGTTTGAGGTTTCGGGGTTCAGGGTTTAAAGATTAGGCTTCCAGGTTTCGGGGTTCAGGGTTTCGAGATTAGGCTTCCAGGTTTCGGGGTTCAGGGTTTCGAGATTAGGCTTCCAGGTTTCGGGGTTCAGGGTTTCGAGATTAGGCTTCCAGGTTTCGGGGTTCAGGGTTTCGAGATTAGGCTTCCAGGTTTCGGGGTTCAGGGTTTCGAGATTAGGCTTCCAGGTTTCGAGGTTCAGGGTTTAGGGTTTGAGGTTTCGGGGTTCAGGGTTTAAAGATTAGGCTTCCAGGTTTCGGGGTTCAGGGTTTCGAGATTAGGCTTCCAGGTTTCGGGGTTCAGGGTTTCGAGATTAGGCTTCCAGGTTTCGGGGTTCAGGGTTTCGAGATTAGGCTTCCAGGTTTCGGGGTTCAGGGTTTGAGATTAGGCTTCCAGGTTTCGGGGTTCAGGGTTTAGAGATTAGGCTTCCAGGTTTCGGGGTTCAGGGTTTCGAGATTAGGCTTCCAGGTTTCGGGGTTCAGGGTTTTGAGATTAGGCTTCCAGGTTTCGGGGTTCAGGGTTTAGAGATTAGGCTTCCAGGTTTCGGGGTTCAGGGTTTCGAGATTAGGCTTCCAGGTTTCGGGGTTCAGGGTTTCGAGATTAGGCTTCCAGGTTTCGGGGTTCAGGGTTTCGAGATTAGGCTTCCAGGTTTCGGGGTTCAGGGTTTCGAGATTAGGCTTCCAGGTTTCGGGGTTCAGGGTTTAGAGATTAGGGTTTTACGTTTCGTTTTTTTTTTGCACGCCTTTTTCCGTCTGTTTGCAGCTGCGAACGTCCAGAATCCACAGTAGTGGAAGGCTGTTTACCCTCTCGGACCTCAGTACCCCTTGTGCTCTTCACCCTCATTCTCAGTGGGATTGGTTTTGCCCTCTTGTACCTCCTCATGGTTCGCGGCCTGACTGACCACCACATCGGACTCGACCGAGTCAACCTGAGTCCCTTCGATCACTGCACTTGTCATAGGCAACGTCCAAACCCCTGCCCACGCCAACTGACCTGACTTCCGTGCCTCCTCCTTGATCTCTGTTTCACTGACGTCCCAAATTACACGGTCTTGTAGCACTGAAGCTGCCCCTGTCAGACCAACTGTACGTAGTCGCCGGAATAGCTGAAGCCAGTCTCCCCCTTGTCTTTGCTCGACATCCGCGTCGGTGATCTGGTGCCCCATCCACTGGAAGAAGATCGGCATCACGGCACTCCACGGGATGGACAACGGCAACGAGACCACAGGTTCCGTCCCAATGACTGGCCCTCCTTCGTCCGTGCCTGCATCAGGTCCCATGTTGAGCTCAACAGCCAGGTAGGTGTCGATGGCAAATCGTCCCCACTGACGCCAGGCCCTGAACAGCGCCCAACCATACTGGGCCAAATGCGTCAACAATCATCTGGTCATCTCTCCAACCAGCTTTGTATTGGCCAAATATGGACTCGAACATGGCAAACCGTACGCGAGGACACCCTGGCAAGAGCATAGGACTCAAAGAGGACCCAGGTGTCGGAGCCAGAGGGGCATCTGCAGGCATCGTTTGTGCAGACTCCAGCTCCACTTCGCCGGCCCCAGTCCCCATGTCTCCAACCACAGGAGGACGTTCTGTGTCAGCCCCATCCGAGACCGCTCTCTGCGCCTGCAGGAGCTCCATGACCTCTGGACCGTATTGTCTGAGAATCGCTTGCTCTTCTTTCCTCCCCTGGATCCACTCCTCATAGAGAGCCTGGTACTCGTCAAACTCGAGCCCTGGAAGACCATCTCGCTCTTGATCTCCGCAGACAGTTCCAGGGACCTGCCCCGGTGACTCCACAGCCACTGTCGTCACATCATCTGGGTCACGCTGCATGTTGGCCACAACCGAGACCGTGACTGGGCTGCCATCTTCAGGGACCTCCATCGACAGAGTATGCATGGTTTTTGTCGAAGACCCCGAACCACTGGACACCGTCATGGAAACCACACATCTGCGTTTTGTCGCCCTGGTCATCGCAGCTTGCATGGTTGCATTGTCTTCTGTTGTGCCTGACTGGCCTGCGCTTGGAGGTTAAGTACCTCCTGCTCTCGCATCATATCTTCCGTTTCAACGGCCAGCTGCAGACCACACGGATATGAACGCCATCACCGCACTCGGCCAGCAGGCCAAGTCGCTGCAGCAGCTCGAAACCGGCTTTGTTGAAGTCGGACAGCGGCTCCTCCACCACATAGACCAGAGAGGTGCTTGGAGTGAACGAGCCGGTCACTGGAGGCGCTGCCGCTGGCGGCGCCCTGGTGAGTACTCGGAGGGGCTGCTGCTGCACAGCCCGCCGAGTCCACTGTTGGACCGGCCTCACAACAGGAAGTGGCCGCTGCGAGACCACTTCCATAAATGGCTGCCCACCCAGAAGTCGAAACGAAGTGCAGTCTCCACTGGCTGGCCCTGGCGCATCCAGCTCTGGGGCAAAGCAGTAGCACGTCACCGGGCTCGACCAGCGGAAGAGCATGATAGGAATCATGTCCTCCATAGTCGCGGGGCTCCGAGTCACCAGCACGGCATTCTGCTCCACCCACGTGATGATAATGAAATCTTCGCCGACTTGGGCCGCGCACGGCGTTTCCCGTGCTTCTTGAAGCAAAGCTCCTGCAAAGGTGCTGGGCTTCTTCAAGCCTTGGTGAATGCACCCGTTGATAGACGAGCTCCTCTGGCTTCCGCCACTCCAGTGTTGTGTCCGACGACGGCTGGTCTTCACGTGCAGCAGTATCGGGGCCCTCCGGGAACAATTTCCGTCGCCAAATTCGTCTTGTGCCCGACGACGGCTGGTCTTCACGTGCAGCAGTATCGGGGTCCTCGGTTGCTCGCCACTGCGCCGGCTTCTTCTTCTTCGAAGACCGGGACTTCGAACTAGCCAGCTGGTCTGCGCGTGCTGACTCGGGGTCCTGGCTCCATCGGGGGTTGCCGGGGTTGCCTCTTGATGGCGGCGTGTGCATTGCTCAACCTTTGCTGGGAGGAGCTGATGCTCTTTCGTCGGCGCCGCTTTCAGGCCGGCAAGAGTGAAACGGACAAATTCGTATAAACGAATTCGGGAGAAGGAGAGGCTGTATAGCTTGGGCCAATCTCCTCAACGAGGCGCATCACCACACATCCGCGGCAAAGGTTCCTCGTTCCAGAACTTCGCGCGCCAGCACTCCATGCCGAAAGTGGGGTTGTTACAAAGGTGTTACCGGGTCTCCAAGACTCGCGTCAAGGCCGCAACGCTCCTTTGATGCTTGGGTTTAGGGTTTAGAGTTTAGGGCTTTAGGTTTCGAGTTTAGGGCCAGGGTTTAGGGCTTTAGGTTTCGGGGTTTAGGGTTTCAGAGTTTTGGGGTTTCGGTTTAGAGTTAACGGATTAGGGTGCAGACAATTCTGAACGCACATCGCACCAGCGGCATGAGCAGAAGTAAGACGACTTTCGGGGTTACTGTTGGGGCAACTGCAATGGCTGGTACAAGGGTTGCAAAGGTTTACTAGAAGGATTACTATGAGGGCCATCGCTGTTGAGTTGGCAGCATGTGTAGAAACAGCCTGCAGCAAACAACGTGAACGGCGAACCGATCTTGACTGTACCCGCATGTCAGCCTCCGTAAAGAACCCAGAGCCCCAATTAAGGAATATACCTTAAATCATAAAAAGCATCCCTAGCATGATTTAGAGCAAGTTCCTTACTTCAGGAATGTTGGAGGCTCTGAGAATCCCGACACATCCTAAGGCTCTAGAAGCGCGCGCACAATGCCTCCGAAGCCGAAGCCACACACAACTCCTTCAAAGCCCGAAGCTCGAAGCCCCAAACCCTCAAAGCACAAGCCCTAAACCCTCAAAACACTAACCGCGGAACCCTGAACCCTACAGCCCTAAACCCGAAAGAACCCTCAGCCACGAAAAACCCTAAACCCCTAACCCTTATAGATTCCTTAAAGGAAGCCCTAGGGCTCCTCAAGCCCCAAATCCCCCGAACCCTTCTAGATCCCTTCAGGAACCCTTTAAGGTATATATCCCCCCAAATCCTAAACCCCTAAACTTACCTTTGGTCAGTAAGGAATGGAAGAATGGTAGTAATAATAGCTATAATTGTACCCCATTCCTCCATTCCCTACTAACCAAAGGTAAAGATCCCTTTAAAGGAACCCTCAACCCCTACAGATCCGTTTAAAGGAACCCTATAGATCCCTTTAAAGGAGCCCTATTCCCTAGGAGCCAAAAGTAAGCTAAAGCCCTAAAACTCCCTCAAAGCCCGAAAGACTCGGACCTTCAGTGCTCCGGGACCGAAGCCCGGCGAAAGAAAGAGGAGATCCTTGAGGTTTAGGGCTTAGGTTTAAGGTTTAGGGTTTAGGGTTTAGGGATCAGGGGACTTAGAGTTCCTTTGAAGGGTTCCTTAAGAAATCTATGGGGTTTAGGGGGCCTTTTTAAGGCTACTCGTGGGTTCTATAATCAGATTTAGGGTTGAGGGCTTACATGGAGGATGATTCGACTTAGAATCCCTGAAAGGGTTACTTAAGGGGCTCCGTGAGGGTTCCACAAAGGATCTATAAGGATTTAGGGTTCAGGGTTTAGGGCCTACTTGGAGGACCATGCGACTTAGTAACTAGTTTATTGTCACTTTTCGGGATGGTCCCTTTATATTGAGGTTCCCTGCAAGGATTTCGGATTTAAGGCCTGCTTGAATATCATGGGATATACTCGCAAAGGTTTAGACCCCTCACCCGTAAGGGCACCATAGAACTCTACAGAAGAGCTCCCTTAATTTAGGGATGTTTCTACTTAAAGGATCATGGGACTTAGTACCAGTAACTAGGGCTAGAGAAATGAGATCTATAGTTTTAGTTTCGTAGGTACTTAAAACTCCACAGAAAAACTCCACTCAAACTACTTGCAACCTTAGTTACTAGGTTCCATGATCCTCCAAGCATTTCGGCTCGCACGCGGGAAACTAAAGAGGGCCGAGACCTTCGGGTTTTGTCCCGTGAGGGTTACTTCAGTGGCTCCTTTAAACCGTTCCATGGGGGATCTATAGAGATTTTGGGTTGAGGGTTATACCATGAAGTAATTCGATGTCAGGATCATTACGCATGATTCGAGAAGGGGTAGTACAGTCAAGAGGGTTCCGGTTCATGTGTAAGGTTTAGTAAGTTTAAGGCCTTGTACTCGGAGTCTTTCACTTCGTAGTTCATGCTGCTGCGAAGGGAAAGGCTGCTGAGACTTCAAAGACGATGAATCACAAACGGGAAGGGGCCAAGTAGACAACCATCGGCAGAAGGTTTCGTAGTTCTGGGCCGGTACAAAAGAGTGTCTCCGTCTCTCGCTGTGTGTGCTGCCGCCAGCCCGGTCTCTCAAGCACAATTTCAATTCGATACCAAATCTAGCCCCCGAAAACTTATCCTTTGAGTCAACCCTTGTAGCCTTTATGGTAATCTCAAAAGTAGCCCCTCACTAAGCCCTCGAATGCCTGAAGCATCCCAAAGCGCAAGCCCTGATTGGCCCCAAGCACGATGGCAACTTGCCGCAATCCTGCTTCATGGTACTCTAGAGTAAGTCTAGAGTATCTCTGAAAAGTTATCCTTGTGAGAATCTCCGAGTAACCCTTATAGCAACCTTGCCTTGCAGTAATCCTCATACCAATCCCTAAACTCTAAAACCTCCTGCAACCTTGGCACCACCAGCTCGCGAGTTTTGCCTTCCTCCGCTGCCTTGAAGCATTCGGAAAGCGATTTTGCACACAGTGCGTAGCTTTTCAAGCTGCTTTTGAGTCATGCCTGAGAAACAAAAAAAACAGACTTTAAGGTTTTGTGTTAAATAAGCGGTATAAAGCCAAAGAAGTACTCTCGAGTTTTCAATAAATCATGTCTAAATGTTTCCTACTGGTATGGGTGGTCATGTAGCTGCTGTGCAGTTTTATAAGGTTTGCTACCCCTTCAGAGGGAGTATCCTTTAGACGATGGAGGGATGCTCACCAGGATTTGCAGCACAATGCAATGTTCCAAACCTCAAACCCCAAACCCTGAAGGCCTAAACCCATTGAGCTCACTAGGATCTCTCTGAGTAGAAGGGGGGTACCGTTTGTGGGATTTCAGGTAAAAGATGCCGAGCAGAAACGGGAGGCTTCTGCGCGGCGGTTTAGGGTTTAGGGCTTTCTTCGGCTTGTAGGGCCATTGCCGGAAACCTTGTGCGATATTTCGATGTGAGCCTTTCTACCAGAAGGGCGAATAAGAGACCTAAGCCCAGCCCAGGGACGTCGGAGTACGTCCCCCTGGAGATCTTGTTTGCAAAGAGCTCCAGCTCGTCGAAGAGATCTTGCCTCCCCAGGGCCACAGAACAGCTTCTTAAGGGCTGAGCACCCTAACCCCAACAAAAGGCTGCCCTTTTCAATCACGGCAGGATTATACAAACCCCAAAAGGTTAAAGGTTACATACTCAGCTACTAAGGCTTTGTTTCATCCTCACAACGGAACCTGATTTCAAGCCAGAATCCTGGAAGCGCCATGACGGACAAATCGTCCTTTCCAGAACTCGGACACGGGATTTTGGGCTTAACAAAAGAAGCGGATGAAACTCCTGGTCTCTGTGGGAGTTTCCGAAAAGTAGGGGTACTGTATGTTAGGGTCCGTATAATGCGGATCCTACTATTCAGGGTGCTACATGATAGGGTCCCCTATTTCGGAAACTCCCCTGTCTCAACGCAGAGGAATGGGAGGTGTCGTCCGGTTCTGAGACCAACCGGACAACTTCCAGCGAAGCAAAGCTGGCAGTGCCCGGAATGTAAGGAGCCATATCAAATCATGTTATTGATGATGGAGATTATGGTGATGCCAAACCCGAAACCCTAAACCCGGCGACTACCAGGCTGAAGATGATGGTGGTGATGATGATGATGCTGAATGCGAATGAATTGTGCTGGTTCTGCCGATGATCCTTCTGATTCGACGGTCTTGCGGAGGTGCACAGGATGTAGCCTCCAGTGAGCACAGTGAGCTATTGAGGAAGCCAGTGAGTAAGGGAAGCACTGCACCGCTGCATCCGTGAATCTGAAGGCATGCTGCACTGGTCATTTCGATCCTGACGATGGTGAAGAAGAAGATCATGCTCCCTCTTGACCAAGATGATTCCGTTCTCCATACCAGCTGGATGCTGATGAGTCATGGTCAGCAGCAACATAGCGACGAAGAATGCTACGATCAAGACGAAAAAGCTCGTGCCACCATGCGGTCACTTGTAGACTTTCTAAAGTGAAAAAGAACGTCTGTCGGATGACGTTCTAGAGCCTTCCTGTTCCTTTCAGCAAATGCGACCCACGCTAGAACTCCCTCGCACCCAGCCCCAAACCAACACATCTCTGCATTTCTTCAACATCTTGCCTTCTGTGTGGGGTAGCTTGACTGCCAGCATCGCAGATGGCATTGGGAGGCTGCGGGGCCTCAGTTCGCACTTGGAGGATCATGGGACTTAGTAATTGGGGTTATAGATAAGGTAACTATACTTAGAATTACTTAGAACCCCAGTTAGGGTACTCATAACCTTACTTACTAAGTCCCATGATCCTCCAAGCAGGCTTTGGCCTCTGAGCCTCTGGCACTGAAACAAACACGAAGGACATATCTCGACCCTATAAACCCTCACCCTTATAGTAACCCCTGCAGTAGCCGCCAAAGTGCTGATAATTAGTTACCCCTCACATGAACATTAAACCCTAAACCCTAAAGCATTAAAGCCTAAACCCTTAAACCCGCAACTGGAGCTTAGGGCTCCAGACTTCAGCCTCAGGCCCTCCTTAGCAAGCGGTCAGCAGGGATTTCATTCATCAGATCTCTATCCTAATATTATAACGATTCATAGGGAGAAGGAGATCTATGAAATCAATACTATACCGATTGTTTATAACGGGCTTTTATATGGACTGGGGATGGCCAGGGAAGCTTAGTTCCGAGCTTCTCTGGCACCCTCCAACTTCCCGACCCGGCCGGACGCCTTAGATTACGGGTTTGGGGTATGCTATAGTATATCTATATCGTATTAGATTCATATATATATATACATGTATTATAAAATGAATAGAGTAAGGAACCCTAGGGAACAATAAGGAATGGCATCACCAATTCTTTGGGCTTCTACATTATTTTCCTCCGAGCTGCCCTTGCCTCTGGAGCTGCCGCTTGAAGCTGCAGCTGCTGAGCTTGCGCCTGTCACCGGGGCGACAAAGCCGAGCCCAAGTGCTGAAACTCGCACGAATACAATAGAAGCCCAAAAGCGAGAAACCCGACAGCCTCAATCCTTAAGATGTAAAGGGAGTCCCAGCACTAATTGTCCTTGATCCGGTTTCCAACTGTTTGGAGTTTACTATAGCGCGGCATTGGGTTTAGGAAAAGGGGGACGACGATTGCTGCGGCGACCTGTGCGGGCCTGTCGATGCTTGACAGATAACATGAAAAGGGAGTTCCGAAAATAGCGGACCCTAATATAGTACCCTAAATAGCAGGATCCTTAATATAAGGACCCAAATAAGGTACCCCTAATTTTCGGAAACTCCCGTATAAACCATATAACCGCTGTAGTAGCTCTGAAAAACCCTATGCTGCGACAGATTAAAACAGTGCACCGTACTGGTAGTTCAACTGAGTCTGTTATACTGAACCATGCCACTATTTCTATGTGGATGAACACATGGATACACAAATCTTTATATATACATATATATATATGTATATATATATATATATATCTCATAGCAGCCCCTGCATTGGACCTCGTCTTGAAGCCCCCTGCCGAAATCCGTTTCATGACTCTAAATAATGGACCGCTATGAGGACTTCTCTTGTCGCCTGATGGATCATCTTCTCCAGATGCTTCGACAGCTCCGTGCAGAGCCAGTGCATCTTTTCGCTGTCAGCGGTCATCCTGTGGGGAACGCTCTTGCAGTGCGACCAATCAAAAAACCCGTGTCAACCCCAGAAACGTCGGATGAACTCCTATCCCTAAACCCTAAACCCTAGACCCTTGAACCCTAAACCCTCAAACCCAAAACCCTAAATATATGAAACCCTATGGGAAAATCCCGCACAACCTCGCTCCAGAATATCCGAACGCAACTCTGCAAGCGAGGCTCTTTTGGATCCAACCTTGACAGCCAAGGGCCAAGCCACAAAAAATGTAGTATAGCATAGCACAGTTTAGTATAGTGTATTCTAGTACAGTAGAGTATGGTACAGTAAAGTATAGTATAGTACAGTATAGTATAGCGTATTCTAGCACAGTATTATACCCCTCGCGGAAAGGACAACAAAGAATCCTGACATTGTCACCCTCCGTCATGAAATGAGAGGGCAGAGGACACAACTTCTATGGGATCGGCGCTCAGGTCGAAGGTTTCTTGCATGTGGCGCTGTGGCGGTCTACACACCCACCCCCCCTGCTCACATTCGACTGCTTGGTTTCGGAATGCTGAGTGCGGGGCTCTCCACCATACTCAGTAGGTCATACCCCAGCTCTGGCACTGATTCCTGCAAGCTGACCGGAAGGACTGACATCCATGCGTGGACATACTCTCGCGCCGCAGTGATCTCGCAGAAGCTCTCATATAGCCCCCTCCCCCTCCCCTCCGGCAGCCTGAACTGCTAAGTTCAAGTCGGGCAGCACCGTCTCGATGACTTTCCGGGACACCTTTCGAGGTGCTCTGGTTCAACATGTCAGTTCATCGCATGTAGCACATAGCTTCGCCTGAACTCAGAGAGGAATTGTGGTACGAACAACTGATCCTGACGGTGGCGGTATGGACAGCGGCGGTGAAGGCGTTGATGACGATGATGCTGATGGTGCGGATGGTGTTCAGATCATGACTATGATGCTGACAAGGAGGATGAGCAGCATGAGGAGCAGGATTTGGCGGTTGGAAAGCCCATGCTTGCGGTCGGCAGCCGGTTGCCTCCTGCCAGCCTCCTGGAGTAGTAGCTTGTGTCGTGATAGCTACCGATCACGGAGTCGTCCCTACCACGGACTGGTTAGGCTCCCTCTATTGGCTACGGCTACAGCTCTCTAGACTGCCCAAAGCGTTTCGGCCTGTGCGTACTGGCCAATCACCTTGACCGCCTGCTGCCAGAGTAGTTGCGCCTGCTGCAAGGCTCGCGGGTGTATCGCATGAACCCCTAATTTGCCAGTATCTGACCCCTGCTCAGCAAGACTCCGCCAGGCTGTCTCGGCGTGTCGAGGAGTCAAAAGACTTATACAAGCATAATCTATGTATTTCCATGTAGATCACTACTTGTAACTTTTAAACCAAGCAAAGAAGTCAGCGAACATGTATGTATGTCTGTACGTGTGTAGATTGGTTGGTTGGTTGGTTGGTTGGTTGGTTGGTTGGCTTCTTGTTTGTTTGGTTGGTTTATTGATTGATTGCTTGGGGTCGTTTGGTCGGTTGGTTGGCTGGTCGGTTGATTGGTTGATTGGTTGGTTGATTGATTGATTGATTGATTGACTGACTGACTGACTGATTGATTGATTGATGGATTGGTTGATTGGTTGTTGGATTGATTGAGTGAATGAGTGAAAGACTGTTTGATTGATTGCCTACTGTCTGACTGACTGAGTGACGGAGTGAGTGGTTGATTGTGTGTAGATTTACATATATATATATATACATACGTATACATATGTATATATGCCTTCCCTCCCAGACTCGAGACAAGCCCACAAGACCTTGCTTACCCCTCTGAAGTCTTTCTACCAAGGCACCTGCATAATGGTCTCTCGGATGCTTGCAGCGAGCTCGGGGTGCTGACCTTGAGTCATCGCGAAACCACGTGCGTCGGCACGGCCATTGCCCAGCCAGCTGCAGAAGCGACGCTCGGACAGACACGCAAGAAGAAACTGAAGCTCAAACCTGCAAGTAAGAATCCTGGCACAGCCTTCAACCTTAAACCCTAAACCCTTGAACTCTAAACCCCGAAATTCTAAAGGGTAAACTGCTCGGGAAGAAGACTTGCATAAAAGCCGGGGCACTTCGGCATGCGAGGCAGGCAATTTCCAAGGATCGCCCCAAGGAAACCCTGAGATCACATCTCCAGTTTAGGGTTTAGGGTTTCTGAAAGCTAGGGTAGCTCATTGAGGGTCCGCAAAATGAGGATCTTGGTATATAAAGTGCTTTGTTCAGGTCCCTATTCCTCGTTTCAATTGGCTCGGAGGCTGCTATGTTGCATACGCAGGGTTCGTCAATGAATGTGCAGCAACGACTGAAATGGCTCTGCGTGACATTCTAGCCTGACGAAGGAGTTGCACCCATCCGACGGATGATGCAATGTATTACGCTGAAGCCCGGGGCGGGTTAAATCCCAATGCTCTGCGCTCTGAACTCTGAATCTGGCAGTCACAGAAGTCTCAGCACCACCCGGGGTCCGGCGCCGAAGGGCTTTTCAGATCTGATCTCATCCCATAGTTTTTTGGAGTGGCAAGGTGGGCATGAGAAGATAGATGCTCTGGTCCCTTATCAAATAACCCAATCACGCATTGGGGCTACAACACCTGTGGAAGTAGCACGAACAAAGAACGAACTGCGCTACAACGCATGTGGAAGTAGTAGTTTTTTGGGGTTGAGGCCGTGTTCGCAACGTCGAGAGACTCCTCACACGTCGAGTTCCGTTCTCCTACCGTAGAACACGCAACTTGAAGGACGAAATGAACCCCAAAAGGGTTCAAGGTTCATACGCCATGTAGGGGTTCATGGTAGACAAGGGTATAGGGCCCCTAATTACAGAGGTCATTTGGTGAACCCTACATTCTAAAGCTTAACCCAGAACTGACAATCCAGGCGGCTGCAGTCGGAGTAACTCGCGGAGGTCAAAGGGTGCCCTGGGCCACTCCGGAAGTGAGTGGGTACCGAAGAGAAATCTCCCACAAGGCGGTCCGGTTTAGAGTTTAGGGTCACAATAAGGTACCAATGTACGGGCCTTAACAGTTAGAACCTGGCATCGGGATATACTATTTTTCTATAAGTATCTAACTACAGGGCCATGCATACTGTTGGCAAGTTTTTCAAGCTTCTATAGTAGTAGATGGGGTACCGTAATTTACACAATCGCACAAACAATCCTAAAATCCAAATCGCAACGAACGTCATTATAGCGGACACTGTACTTTACGGGGTACTAGAGGATCCTGTATGGGTGTTTCCGAAAATGGGGGACCCTAATACAACACCCTAAGCCCTAAACAGTAGCAGTAGCATCTTTATTATAAGGACCCCAAAATGAGGTACCCGTAATTTTCGGAAACTACCATATTCATCCAGCGACCAGCTTCCGAGTGTTTTCGAGTCCTCGACTCTGTGGAGGCCGCTGATCTTTCTGGGAAAGCGGGACAGACGCGGCTTTAGGGCTCAGAGTTTAGGACAGATCGCGCATCGCGGGTCTGCGGAGTAGTCTTATTTCATGTTGACTTCCAGCTCTGAGGACCCTGTTGTCCGCGAACCTACGGGTCCCTTTGCCCAAATATGCTTGACCGTATAGTCCCTATATACGGACTTTGGGACTTTCGGACTATGAGCCAAAGCATATACTCTTGGGGTTAGGGAATGTTGATGCCGGAAGCCTCACAAAGCCTGTTGTCCCTGTTTCACCTTGGCATGAGCCCCCGGCCGTGGGGTGACGGCGCGGACTGCGACCGCTGAGGCGGGCTGGGGTGGAGAAGGAGCCTGGTCATGTCTTGATCTCAGAAGTTCAGGGTTCTTTAAAGGTTTTCTTACGGTATCCGGGTTCTATAGGGTACCACAAGCGGTCTAGTCGGGTACCATAATTTGGAGTTCAAGTTTAGGGCGTTTTGGGGTTCGGCGTTGAGGGCCATGTCTCAGGGTTCAGAGCTTACGAAACAGCCCGACAGGCTGCAGCTCGCACAAGCGAAGAACACGAGAATGGGGGAACCTAAGTCCTTGGTAGTAGGATCCCTGGGGACCCCAAAATATGGTAGCCCTCATTTTCGGAACTCCCACATCAGGCCACTCAAACCTGAACCAGGACATTACATTCCGGCGCACTGTTCGTAGCGCCTTCTTCTTTTCGCCCACCAGCCACGGATGTTCCAAGCAGCCTGTGTTCAAGGCTCTTTCTGATTTGGGTATACTGTGCATACATTAATATTCATTTGACTGTACCTATACGGGGATATAGCAGAAACAGGCTTCCTAATTATTCTGACCCGGTAGTGTTCTTGGTCTTACCGGCCTGAGAGCGGAAGACGATCTCCAGGATTCACTTTCAGAAGTTTCCTGGCGGAGAGGGGGGGTCGCGAGGGGTGGGGTTCACAGATGCCAGGGCCAAAACCCTAAACCCGAAGCCCCAAAAGCCTTAAAAGCCCAACAATAGGCCCAGCATCCTTGAACTCAAGAACCCCAAACCCCAAAACCTAAACCCAAGTCCTTTAACGAAGGGAGGTTCTTTGGGGTTAAGGTGCCTCCTACCTCTAGTCTCCATTGTCGTTCCTTTTTGCGTATCCTTTTCGGATAATACTGCAGCCTCCATGCGTCTAAGCGTGGCTGAGGCGGCCTGATGAGGTCTTGGGCATCTTCCGATGGCGGGGACTTCACGCGCGAGAGCTCGAACCTCGAAGGCGTTCCGCTCAAAGCTCCATGTGATTCCTCTATGGGTTGCTGTCAAGGGCTCCTGTAAGTGTACCAGAACGCTTCAGGGATAGGGTAGAAGGCTCCATGAACCCGTATAGTATATATGCTTATAGGCCTTACAGTACCTATACAGGAGCCCCTTTACGGCCTAAGAGGTACATGGAGCCTTAGTGTTCGGCGCAGGAGATGCGTCGCTCTTCGGCTTTGAAAAAATACATGTTGGGCTAGAAAGCCATTATGATTTAGTTTTTAAGGTCTAGTGAGTCTACTAGTATATAAAGCCCTTATGATTTAGTGTTTAGGGACAATATTGTCTCCCAAAGTTCTCCGCTTTGCGAGGAGTGAAAACAAGAGGTATTTCATGTTTCATGCAGCTTCAAACAGCTTTGTGCAGTTTCGCGCAAGGAATCGAACAAAGCCCTGCAAGGGAAGCAAGTGGATGTTCTAGGCTCCAGGACGTGCCGTTCTTGATCTGCTCGTTCGCGTTGTCGCCTGAAGCCGTGCCAGAATCGCGCTAACTACTCAGGAACGGTCAGGGATGTTCTGTGTCACGACAGTTTGTACAACTTTCGAGCACACGCGATTGACCAGCTTCCTCGACTAATGTGGCCTGCTGACACGCCCGAAGCTGTAGAAGTAATTCGCATCTTCTTTGCCCCCTCCCATCATGCCCCAAGCTCTGGCTAAGAAGACCGTCGAGTGCTTAGTAGGGAATGGGGGAACAGATATTGGGGACTTTATTGGGGCATTTTATACAGGGGCTACTATAAGGATCCATTCCCCCATTCCCTACTGAGAACCAGGGAGAAGAACTGCGTGAGGCCTCGAAAAGGGTATCTGCCGTAGAGCATCACATAGAGCCTCGACTGTAGGTTCCGGCACCCAGCAACAAAGGCTTAATATAGGGGCCTTAATTATTCGATTAGGGTTCTCTCCCTTTAAAGGGTTCCTTTACAGGGGTCTATAAGGGATCTATAGTAGGGTTCTGTAGTATAGGGGCCTGAATAATTAGACTAGGGTTTTGGGGCCCAGTATACTATAGCTACAATAAGGAACCCACCAACATAGTACAGGTAATTATTAGGGCACCTATATTAGGAATGAGGCAGGAAGAAGACCCAATGGGTCCAAGTAACAGTATAGTACATACCTTTGGGGCCCAAATGTCTACCAAGCAGCTACTATGCTGGTACTTGGAGAGTTTGGGAGAGTGATGCAGCCACATACGGATACAGACATCAACCCTGTAGCAAGCTTTTGGCAAGATGGAGGTTCCTGGTTGCGATATCCATTGATATCCACGACTGCCCGGCCCTAACCCCAAACCCTAAACCCGCAAACCCTGAACCCCAAACCCCTCAAACCGTCGAACCCCCAAACCCTCACATCCTAAACCCCAGAGCCTACACAAACCCCAAACCCTAAACCCCCAAACACAAAGTCCCAAGCGCTAAGCACGACTTAAGGCGGAGTAGGTCGCAGGCAGGACCCCTAAGCTCCAGAGGTCGACTCGCTCGTCGTAGCCCTGCCTGGCACACGTAGGGAGGGGGTTGGGGGGGGTTTAAGGGGTTCAGGGTTTTAGGGGTTTAGGGTTTTAAGGTTCAGGGGTTTAAGGTTTAAGGTTCAGAGATGGTCTAGGTTCAGGTTTAAGGTTTCGGTTCAGGGTTTTGGGTTTGGGGTTTCGGAGACGTGTTGCACAGCTTCACATCTCGAACGCTGAGATTGCAAGCCATGCTCTGGGCGAGAAACTGCCTAAAGTTGCCTCTGTGGCCTGACTTCAACCAGTTTAGCGGGGCAAAATATCCCCAAGTCCTGTAAATGCTAGACCTAAACTAAACCAACTCCAGATTTTGATATACCCGCAACTTCCTTCATGAACTTTGGCATGGGAGCCCTGAGCCTCGCATCACAAGCCTTCATCTCCTGCCGCCCCTAAAGTGTCCGGCAAGTCTTGATCCGCAATCCCTACAGGGTTTATAGGGTTCGAAGGGTTTAGGTTTAAACCCAAACCCCCATACCCGGTGAAGGGAGCCACATGTTGAAGCCATCGCATCCCCACAGCTCTTAGCCAACAAGAAAGGCCCAACAGGAGGAGATCCACAATCAACAGTAACAAGACAAAAATTAAGCATTTTCGTCATCATCATCATAACAACAACTAGAAGCAGTAGTGGCACTTCATCAAAAATTACAATTGACAATGCAGGTGCCTTGTTGGGGAACGCAGGAGCTTTACACGATGTTGTGTTGTCAGGGTCAAGAGAGCACAAAGCTTTAGCGGACATGTCAAATCAAGGTGTAGGGTAGAGGGTTTATCACGGGTTTTGGGGCTCAGGGTTCCAACCTGTCGCGTCATTTCTCTAATAAGCCAGGCTCAGAACAAATGAAACCTTCCATCATAGACCAAATGTATACGGCCAGAACGTGTAAAGTTCTCCCATTGGCCAGCCCTGAGCTGCCTGCCCTTGGCTTTGAGCATCTCTGGCGCCCAGTACCTTGGGAATTGGGTCAGGGGCATACGGCGGGTATCGGCGGCTTAAGGCAACTAGGCTTCTGAGTATCCCTTTCATAACAAGGGTACCCTTTTCCTACTGTTGGGTTTTCATGAGGGGCTCAAGAATAAAGAAATGGAGCAAAGTATAGGCACTCTCTGTCGCGCGGTGTGATTCTGCAGGCTTGGCATGAAGACTCCTCTCAGCTCTGAATCCGTGGTCGAATGCGCACTATCCCGGCCACGTAATTCCACAGCATCTGAGCAAGGTGCTGGGGTGTCCCAACCATGCTCCGAAGAGGCTCCCCCTGCGACTCGCGTGAGCATGCATATGCTTTCAGACCGGAAAAACTCGCAAGATTTCAACACATGTGCCGAGTTCCATATACAACGATGCTCTCTATGACAGCACCCCTCAATGCCCCTTGAGATGTGCAGAGAGGAGCCTACCTGGCCCAAGGTGCACACTGCTGCACAGCATGAATCGAGACGATGTTCGTTCTACATCTGCTGCCCCGAAGCAGACGTGATCCGTCCTGTTCCCTCAAGGCGCTATGTCCATGGCAAGCCTCATCGTTGTACTTGCTGAGCCCGTAGTCCGCGATCTTGATGTCATACAATGTGCAATCCTTCACAATGTCGCAGTCACATATCGAGATGAACTTAAAATCGCTCTCCGGATGCTGTGGATTTACTGTAGTTTCCACACGAGAGAACAGCCGTGCACCCAATCATCAAGCCTGTTCACCTGCCCCTGCGCGATCGCCAGCATACTGTGGGAAGTATGGGAAGCGGTCGGCCACAGTCGGTTGCCCTCAGCAGACTGTCTCATAGAACCCTGTCAGAACAACCCTGAATGGGGCCCTATAGAGCCGAGCCCCTCTTCCACCTTTGTCGTAAAGAAGACCCGTGTACTAAATGGTGGGCCTCATTCGGAGGGTCTGCTTGCCGCATCTTGGCGATCAGCACATTCTCCTGAGTCTGTGTGGATTAAGCTCTAGGGTGTAGGGCTTATAGATTCTAGGGTTTTGGGAAACTCGCAGATGAACCGACCAGAGCCGAGCTTGAAGCTTGGCTGCTAGACTTTCTCAACGGTTCGCTTATGGCAAACCTCCCCATGTCCCAAGGTCCTGCAACAGCCACACACGAACAGACAGAACCTGCCCGGGACGGAAAATGTTAACAGTATCCGCTTATGATCCCTATGTCCGTATGGTTTACCACAGAACCCACTTCAATTCCAGAGACTTGGGCCCGTTTGTGAAGCCCCGTTGTCAGGTCGGGGACCCAAAACCCTAAAACCCAAAACTTCAAAACCCTAAAACACTATTGTAATTGTTTTAGGCCGCCTGAAACGGAGCCCTCAAGCTGTCAGGTCGGGGAGCAGGCTTCAGATCTCTGTGGGCAATCTTCTTGCCATGCCTCTGGATGTGGCTTCGGCTTGAGGGACAATGGTCCAGTTCAGGGGTATACTTATATGTGTGTTATGTATGTGTATATATATATATATACACATACAAAAGATAGGCTGAGATAGGGAGTGTGTGTGTATACATATATACACACCATGTACAAGAGATAGGGTATATGTTTTGCAAGGTTTATACGGTACAGCGTTTGGGGCATATGCGTGCAAGGTATAGCAAGTTGGTGCTTTCTGTGAAAGCCGTTGGGCTTTGGGGACGCTAACCTAACTCCGAAAATCACTTGCCAAGGCAGCTGGGGTGCAGAAACACCAGGCCAGACACGATCTGTTGAAAGACCTCGCTTTGTGCAGTGAAGCTGTTGAAGCATGGGCGATTTGGGTAGCTCTCTAAATCTCAAGATCAGGGCCGTAAAAGGTCCTTCTTATAAGGGTGCCGTACTGTTTTGGGGGACCTAGGAAGGGACCCTAATGTAGAGAACTACCCACTTACAAATCGGAAGCCATACAGAAGAATTCAATGCTGGCCTGTCAAGATCGACCGAAAAGAGTCGCTGCGAAGCTGAGGGCTCTCCTACGTCCCGGACATCTCTCAAGATCTTAAAGGAACCCCTATAATACCCTTATAGTACCCTCATAGAATCCCGTAAAGGAACCCTTCTCTCAAGGCTGAAAGCCAACTTCCTCGAGTCCTCGTCAGTCCGTACAACTTACCTTGGGTTAGTAGGGAATGGAGGAATGGGGTACACTTATAACTACTGTTACTACCAGTCTTCCATTCCCTACCAACCAAAGGCAAGACAAGCGGCATGCTTGGCTTCAAGTTCTTTGAGCGTCCGCTTCTTCGCCTTTGCTGACAGCGGTCCGAAGCTCCAGTTTAGGGTTTAGGTTTTTCGGGCCGCAAACAGGCTGGAGCCTCTTTTCACTGATTGCATTTCCACATTGCCGAACTTCCGACAAGGAGCCAGCACCCCACAACAGTAAAGAACTTCAAGCATCATGTTCGGCAATCCGGCTAGTATGGAGGCCTTATGTTTCATAAGAGGGGATCTTTCCTAGATCCAACGCTACACCCCTTGACCCCCAACCACATAAGACCTAGACTCTACACCCCTAGTTTAAAGTCCCTAAACCTAAAACCCTAAACCCCAAACCCTACTAACGAAGCCCCAAAGCCCTGTAAACCATAAACCCTAAAGCCCTAAAACCTGCAAGCCCTAAACCCTGTAGACTTTGAACCCTACACTCCTAAACCTTATCAGCCCTGATGCCCTAAAGCCCTGTAAACCAAGGGTCCAAAGGACGCAAGAATAAGGTAGTTGGGTTTGGGATAGTAGTTATGTAGGTTAATATTTGCGAGAGTCTATGATTATCAAGTACTTGGACCCTTGGTGTAAGCTCCTAAACCTACCCAGAGATCCCAATACCCCCTAATTAAGGAATATGCCTAAAATCATAAGATTCATGCCTCTTTGATTCAAGGTATATTCCTTAACTAAGGGGAATTTTGGGTTCTCTGGGCGCGAAGCCCTGTCAGCCTTGAACTTTGAGACGTTCAAGAACAGCTCAGGCCGGGCCACGATCTGCTCGAAGAGCTCGCCGCCCTCCAGCCTTTCCTGAGCTCTTAAACCCGTAAACTCTAAACCCCTAAACCTTGCTAAGGAGTGTACTATGAGATAAGCGACGGTGATATTATATGGTATGATGTAACCCAAGATGATAAGATAAGGTATGAGATGATCTAACATGATATAGTATAACTTCAACTTTAACAAAACCCAGCTTCCATGATCAAGACGATCCAGCGGGGCGTTCTGTAGATGTCCTCGGATGGCAGCGTATTGGGGTTGAGGGGTTAGGGTCTTGGGGCTTAGGTGGATGGTGACGGATGCTGCGCGGCTACTTGGAGGATCATGGGACTTAGTAACTGGGGGTATAAAGGTAACTAATACTTATAACTCCAATTAGGGTACTTATAACCTTACTTACTAAGTCCCATGATCCTGCAAGTATGCATGCCTGAAGAGCGAGTTCTGACCATGAGGCTTGGGCTGGAGGTGGCAAGCTTTCCAGAACATGAGCAAAGCAAAGCTGGCTTTTCTGTTGGTACTATATTCCTGGCCCGTTCTTGCAGGTGAGCGGCATAGAGGCTCACACAGTGTTCCTGGGCACCGGCACTGCACGGGCTACGGCGGGTCTGCCGTGTCTGCATGTTTTTTCAGAGGACACCGTGTGAAGCTGCCACGCAACTTCCCAGGGCCTGCAGCTGTAGTCGCCTAAACCAAAGTACCATGCCCGTGTAGGGGCTGCTTTCAAAATTCTGCTCAAGGAACAGTGAGCTGTTGTGTCGAGCGGCATGCTCCGCGTTGCGAAGGATTCGCACCTAGGGCCGCAGCTGCTCGAGAACCGAGTTTCTCTTGAAGTCAACAAGGTCGGGCTCAATAGTCGGAGCAAAGTTTGGGGTATACTCTCCATTGTTAGCCGTAGGGACTGTAAGGGCTCTATCGTTCCCAAAGATTCCCACGGTTGCTGAGGCGGAAGAATAGTATGCGGGACACCAGTCCCGTGCAGCTAAATCCCTAAAACCCCCTACCCCTTCCCCCAAAACCTGCAAACCCTAATGCCCTAACCCAAGAACTTTGCAGTCGCAACCACCCTGTTTCGATGCTGAAGCCAGATGCTGTCCTCGCCCTAACCTGAACCTCGAAACTGGGTTTTTGCCAAACCATGAACTTGGTAGTCGAGGAGACGCGAGCTTTTCCTTTGTAGGCCTTGTTGGCTACGTAGTGTATTCCTTACTTAGTTGCTGAGTTCATAAGTCCCAAAAAGTGTACACTTTCAGTTCTATAAAGGGCTCTAGGATCCAAAGGAGTGTAAAGGGTACTCACTCAGCCACAAAGCTTGTACTAGTGCCCTATATTCCCCTAAACAGCCCTGGCCTCGTTCTCCATCTTCTTCACTACGATCTCCGGCTCATCTGCGGACAGCTGCAGCCGATGGCAGTCGACGACCTCGTTTAGGGCTCAAGTTTATGGGTTTGGGGGGGTTTTAAGGTCAAGAGTTTCAGGGTTTGGAGTTCAGGGCTCAAGTGTAGGCTATCGGGTCTGGCTTTTCTTGGGGTTTTGGGTCAAGGGTTCAAGTGGATACCATCGGCTCTCGTTTTTTTTTTTGGGTTTTGGGCTATGACTGGAACCTTTCGGCCAGAAAGCACCAAACATCCCTAAACCACAACCGCTCCTAATGCGCAAAGAACTCTTAAACTCCACGCCGTTGGCCATCCTGCTCCGTGTTTCTCCAAACCTCAGATTCGTTAGGATAAGTGAAACCGAATCCCGATGAGCAACGGGAATTAGTTCTGCAATTTCCTAGCAGAACTCAAAGCTCACGCTTTGGGATTACACATGGAAACATAGACGCGAGCTTAAAAGGCCTGCTGGCCCGAGTGCTAGGTTTGTGGGTTCAAATCCTACCTGGATCCCACATAACCTCCCTTTTTGAGGCTCCGTATAGGGAATTCAAAGGGAACCTTAAATGGGATGGTGGGATCATTTTAGAGCGTCAGGTATGGTCTAGGGCGGTAGAGTTTGGGCTTTAGAACTTTCGAGTGTGGCCTCAGGCTGCTCCCCTTCATCCCCTCCGGCAGTGAATCCTTTTGTCTTGATGAGTTTCAGGGTTTAGGGTTCAAGGGCTTCAGCAGGGGCTGGGGCCTTGGGAATCAAGGTTTAGGGTTGCATACTGCGACAATTTCGGAAGCTCAGTGGATCTTCAGAAACTTGACCAATGCAGGACTCTTCCCGGGAACCCAGGGGGTTCGCTGGCCACGATGTACCGTCTTGTCCTGATTAAGTGTACCAGGGTTTGAGGGCAAGATAGAAGCCTAAATAAACATCAACATTATTCAGTAGGGCTGTTTATTATAGTTGTACTATGAAAGACCCCCAAAGCCTGGCCAAGGCTAAGTCAACTAATATGGTTTACTATACTATAGTCATCATAAAAACCCCTCCCCCTCCAAAAACCTAGTATTGGTTATCATTAAAGCCCCTATCGTAGCTGTTGCGGGCCTTGGCAGCCAAGCGAGCATCGCTCTTTTCACGCCGGCAGGCAAAGACCTGACGTAATCGGGCGAGGGTGCAAGTGCAAGCCGACACACTGGCCAGCAGGCCACCCCCAAGGCACCACGCACCTTATAATGCAAACCAAGGGATAGTTCTGAAAGTTGCATAGTATATAACGCTGCTGCGCGTGATCTACGTCATTTCACGGGCATAAGCAGCCGGGCAGCTGCACCTGGACTCGCATCTTTTTGCCGTGAACATCGCCATTCGTGCAGCTCTATTGACTGCCTGTCGATTTGACAGGTCGTTTTTATTTAGGGGGGTGGGGGGGGGGCCCCCCCCTTTTAATATTAGGACGAAGGGATTACTCCGACCCCTCTACACTATAGTGTGCCATATTACATTCCTTACAGGAACCTGTTTTAAAGGACTAGAACAACACCTGTTTGTTGGAGATATGTCTGGAAGATCTGCACCGTGCCTGGCCCTGTGCGCCGGTCCCGATCACGTCTCCGAGCTCGACGTAGTCGCCTCGCAGGCTTTGCTTCTACTACGAGGACGACGACTGCTACCACTGCTACCTACCGCTACCTACTGCGACTGCCAGTACTACTGGTACTAGTAGTAACAGTAGTCGTCGTCAGTCGTCAGTCGTAGTCGTAGTCGCAGCAGCAGCAGCAGTAGTACTAGTAGTACTGTATCCTAGCAGTAGAAGTAGCAATAGAAAAAGTACCGGTACTAATACTAGCTACTACTAGTACTAGCAAACCCGCGACACGTCTCAATGAAAAAACCCCAGCCAACACACGCATCACAGGACTCTGCTTAGTCCTCCGTAGTTTTATACCAGAAAGGAGGTTTCGCAAGAGTCGTGTTGCCGGACACCTTAACCCTAAAACCCAACAAAAAACCCTAAACCCCAAACACCCAACCCCCTCAAACCAAACCATATCACACCAAACCCCCAGTTTTAAGTACCGCATTTATCACCCTGGTCGCTCAGTACCATGATCCTTCAAGCAGGCCCAAGAAGCATTAAAGGGAACCCACTCATCGAAACCTATTGCACCCTTAAAGTAACCACTACAGTTACAGTAGTTATACTTATGCTTACTTATAGCTCCAATTAGGATACTCATAACCTATGATCCTCAAGCAGGCAATAAACTCCAAAACACTATAGATTTCTGAAAAATCCGTAAGGAGCCCCTTAAGGAACCCGTTAAGGTACTAAGCCCCATCATCCTCCCAGTAGACCCTACACCCTAAACACTAAAGGGAACCCCATTCAAGAACCCTATAGCCCTAAAAAGGAACCCTAATCCCGATCCCTTAAGTAGACCCTAAACCCTTACAGTATCCCCCTTAAGCCCTGAGTCACTTGATCCTCCCAGTAAACCCAAAACCCCAAAGTGTACAAGGCAACCCTAATAGGGCACTTGTCACCCTTATAGTAACCCTAAAGATCCCTTTAAGGAATCCTAGGGCCCTAGGTACTACGTTTTCTGAAATCCGACCCTTTGCCCGTAGCAGCAAGCGAAGCTTCTTTGGCGCCTGAGAAGGCCAGGGGTCCGACCCGGCTCCCGGATTTGATCTCCTGCAGTGGCCCCCTAGTTATAATACATATATATATATATATATATCTTTACAGATACATTACATATATATATATATATATATATATATCTATCTATCTATCTATATCTTTATATAAAGATACATCGATAGATAGATAGATATGCATGCATATACACATATGTACATACATACATACATACATACATACATGCATACGTACGTACGTGCATACATACATACGTACATATACATATACATATATATATATATATATATATGTATAGGAGAGTTATATAGCTATATAGTCGGGTCATATAAAATATAAGAACATAGAGGATTACGTACAGAAAAGAACCGTATATCTAAAAATAGCCCATCAGCCTTTTATAGTAGAAACCTTAGCATGCGAGTCCTTTGGACCTTGGGGACGGTTTTCGGGTTTATGGCCGGAGTCAAGGGTTTAGGGTCGGTTTGGCGTCCCTGAACGCAAGGCTGAATATTTTAGGGCCTATAAACGGTTAGGGTCCGCATACCCGTAACCTTCCTGCAAGAAGAAGCGGGAGGCTTCTACCGACTTCCTGTAGTAAAAACAGTGTTTGTTGGGTTGTTCGGCTGAAATTCCGAGGTTTGTACCTAGAAGAAGCGATCGAACCAACGGGATGAAACGCTGTAATGAGCCTGAACACCCTAAACTCGATGAAACGCTGTAAAAGTCAAGTGATGAAACGTCGGTCAGCAGGTACCTGTGGTCACGTTGCCTCTCGTGGTTCTTCGCCTCAGAGCTGGACCTTTGTGACGGTGTAGTCGTCGCAAAACTACCAGAAACTATGACTCGAAGTCGCCCGTGCAGCTGCACAGTGATGACAGTCTCAGTACTGAGAAGGCTACTGGAGCTGAGGAAGGGCAGCCTGCAATGGTCCTACGTCTCCAGACATAGGGCCCCAAATTACGAGCACTACTTTCTGGATCGTCCCGGGGGTCTGGGTACATGCTAGACGAAAGCCCCGGTGGTCCTGCTCATCCTCCATGTTGTTGCGACCAGTGGGCACAGAGTTGAGGAAGTATTGAATGTTCTAGCTTGGGGAGTCAGGGATGGGGGGGCCCTTCTGCGAGCCAAGCTTGGAGGTCCTTGGAGAGAAGGGGTTGGGCTTAGTGGACGCAAGCAAAAAGTCTGATGGACCTACGCTCGTCCACCAGGCAAGGGCAGCAACACGGCTATGCGGCTTGAGCCGGCTTCCGGTGGAGCTCAGTTGCATCGCTGAGACATGAAACGTCTGAACTCGGGTCCTTGAGCTGAGCAGTGAGGACCAACAGTGACTACAAACAAAAGGGGCATCGGATGTCTCGGACTCAACTGCGGGAATGCGTGATGTCTCACATAATATAGGGTTTCTTAGTATCCCAAACCCAAAGGGTCCAAGGTACCTAATAATCATATACTCTCTAAAATCCTAACCTACATAAGTAGTATCCTAAAACCCGAGTACCTAATTATTGGATCCTTTGGACCCTTGAGGAAAGGCTCCAAAGTACCAAGTAACAGTACCTAGTACCTGGTATTCGGGCTTCGATCCGGATGCTACACTTCTTTGCTGCTTCCTGAGAGAACTACTATACGGTAGACACACGACGAATGAAGACTACAGAGGGGTTTTTATTACTATGATTTTATCTGAATATGGAGGCCTACTGTAAGGAACATCATTTGACATACATTCCGAGCCCCTTCATTACGCCCTTACAGTCGCCCCAATAATAATGATCTTGAATCAAACAAAACCCTAAGACGCTGGAACCCTGAACCTTTCATGTACTTCTTATAAACACCCTCACTGAAAGAACCCTCAAAGCAACCCTCAAAGCATACCCTTTAAACACCCCTGCTGAAGGAACCCTTAACGGAACTGCTGTGAGAGGCCATCGCGGCGGGCCTCCGAGGATCCGGTTAAGACCTGTACTGGGGCGAAAGTTTCCTCTTGGGTTTGGGCCATAAGCTTTAAGTTTGGGCTCTTAGGGCTTAGTAGCTTTGTTTAGGCTTTGGGCCTTAAGCTTTAGGGTTGGGCTCTTAGTGCTTAAGTTTCGGTTTCGGATCTTTTGAATTCAATCGCTCCTTTTTTGGGGCCCGCCGAGGGTTTAGGATCTAAGCATTAGGGCTTTAGCTCAGGCTTCGGGTCTAGGGCCTGGGTTAAGAGTTCAGGGTTTAGGGGTTTAGGGGTTTAGGGTTTAGGGGTTTAGGGGTTTAGGGTTTAGAGTTTAGAGGTTTAGGGTTTAGAGTTTAGGGGTTTAGGGTTTAGAGTTTAGGGGTTTAAGGTTAGGGGTTTAGGGTTTAGAGTTTAGGGGTTTAGGGTTTAAAGTTTAGGGGTTGGGGTTTAGGGTTGAGGGTTTCGGGGTTTAGGGTTTAGATTTTAGGGGTTTAGGGTTGAGGGTTTGGGGGTTCAGGGTTTAGGTCGGTTTAGGTTCAGACTGCCACCAAAAGAAAGCCATGACTAGCTACAATATGTTACGGCCTAGGGTTTAGGGATACAGAAACTCTTATGGTAACCCTTGTAGTAATCTTCATATAACCCGTTGAGTAACCCTTGTAGTGGCATTTATGTAGTATAGCAATACACAGGAACATAGAGTAATGTAATTTATTGATAATACCCTGACAGAAGCCTCACAGGAACCCTGACGCCAGGGAGTGGAGCCAGCCTCGTCGAATTTGCTGCTGCGGCTTGACCGGAGGCTGCCTGGAGACAAGGCTTTAAGGTTCCGTTAAGGGGGTCTCTAAGGGTTACCCTAAGGGATCTATACGGGTACTATAATATAGAGTGCCTTAATTTTTTTTGCATAGTCTTCAACGGGGTCTGTGAGGGTATAGGGTTGAGGGTTACTACAAGGGATCTAAGGATACTACAATATAGGGGTCTCATTTTTTGCATAGGGTTCCTTTAAAGTGACCGGATCCGTTTAGGGTTCAGGGTTTAGGGTTTAGGGATCCCATGTCCAGGAGGGGCCTCCCAAAGGAGGCAGCGCAGAGGGTGCTGGGTAGCCACCTCCTGCAAAGGCTCTTTGTTGTGGGCTTTTAAGGTTTAGGGCTACTTGGGTTTTTTAGGATTGTTTGTCTTGGGGTTTCGGGGATGAGGCTTTGGGGTGTAGCAAACAAGGGCTCAGCATAGACTTCCGGAATTTTGGCGTGAACAACCGGCGCATTGCATTTTCGTCTAACCTTCGATTGCAAAGCTCGTTCTATGAACCTCATGGAACCCCTAAACCCTAAACACTCAACCCCAAAACCTCAATCCCTACCCCTAAACTCTAAACCCTAAACCTTGGGGGATCCCGGAAGCTCGCAGGCCATCCGAAGATCTCAGCAACCCCTGGGAAACGGCTTGGGGTTTTAGGGTTCTCCGATGATCCCCATCGCAAGGAGCGTGGATCCCTGAACCCTCCAATTTTGTACCCAGAGAACCCAATACCCCTTAATTAAGGAATATACCTTACATTATAAAGGCCTTAATATTATGATTTAAGGTTATTCCTTAATTAAGGGGCCCTTGGGTTCTCTGGGTAGGGTTTGGGGTCACAGGGGTACTACAGGGTTCTATAAATAAGGTTGGGGGTGTTCTCTACCATGTGTCGGGAGCCTCTACTATGAGCCTTTTGTCCTGGGCAGTAACGTGTCGGCAGGCCTGCACAAAAGCTGTAACGGAGTTGTAGCGGAGCTGTACCGGGAGCTGTGGCGGAGTTGTAACGGGATCTGTAACGGAGCTGCAACGGGAGCTTCAACGGGGCTGTAACGGAGCTCTAACGGAACTGTAACGCGAGCTGTAACGAAGCTGTAACCGGCTGTAACGGAGCTGTACCGGGTGCTGTACCGGGTGCTGTAACCGGAGCTGTAACGGAGCTGTAAAGGGGGCTGTAGCGGAGCTGTAACGCGAGCTGTAACGCGAGCAGCTGTAACGGAGTTGTAGCGGAGCTGTAACAGAGCTGTAACGGGAGCTGTAGCGGAGCTGTAATAACCGCCTGAACCTCTTGACAAAAAAGTCATAGTAAATGATGGTAGAGAATACCACCCCAAATAAGAAAACCTCGAAAGGAGCCCTTTAAAGGTGCCTGTAAGGTCCTTTAAGCGTCCACCCAAAGCGACAATAAGGCTGTGCATTCGGCGGAAACCTTGGCACTCGCTTCACAAAAAGCTTCGCATTCTGAGGGGCAAGATTGGATGCACACCGCACTTGGCATTTTGATACTTGGAATGCGACTTGCAGTGGATATGACCTTTGCTTTTCAACAGTATTGTTCTCTTATAGTCGCACTATAATACTATACGACATAGCCGCACAGCCCTATTCTAACTATGAAGGCCCCTAAACTACACTCCGGTCCTGCCGGCAACCCCTTGGGTGGCAAGGGCGGCCGAACCCGGCCAGTGGCTGACGTGGGCGCGGTTCCTTGGGGAGGATGCCACTCGGCTTCCCGATAGGGGGTATATTCCCAAAGGGTCCTATGTACCGATATAGTAGACTGTAGGGCTTCCATATTAGGAATTAGTATTATGCCTCCCCCATAGCAGTACGTAGGACCCTTTGGGATTGTACTATGTTTATATAGGGAATATCAGGGAATAGTATAACTGAAGCAACAGGGCTGTGGTATACTAAGTTGAGTATACTAGAGTTGTTGAAGGACGATAAAGTAAGTGGGAGCCCCTTCACCAAGCTATTCCGACCTCAGATAACCTAGGTATTGTGCTTGAAGTAGAAACGAAGTATAAGGGCTCCACAAGCCGTACACCCAGATTCTACTATAGTGTACTGCACTGTACTGCACTACTCTACGGTACTCTACTCTTCTCTGTCTGTAAGCCCTGTTCTCTACCGCAGTCAGAAAGGGACTAGGGTTTCCAAAAGCCCGCAAATTAGCATCAAGGATATTCTGGGGAGATGTGTAGCCTAATCCCGAACTGAACCCTGAACCCTTAGAATGACCCTTGCAAGAACCCTAAACCCAAAAACCCAAACTCCAAACCCAAAACACCCTAAACCCTAAACTCCCTACATGCTCGAACTTCTGAGATATCTGTGACGGACCGAGGGTGCGACCAGGTCGAGTTCGAGGGCTGGCATCTGGCGAGCCGGAGCCTAGAAATCTGCTGATTTAGGAGCTCAGGGTTTAGGGTTGAATTTGATTTGGGGATATTATCTATATTATCTACAAGGGTACTATTTACAAGTAGGGTTGAGGGTTGAGGGCTTAGGGTCTAGAGCTTGCTGGTTCAGGGTTCAGGCTTAGGGTTGAGGGTTTAGGGGCTTTGGGCTTCGGGCCAGTTTAGGGCTTGGCGCTGGGGTTTGGGGCTTCGGGTCCTGGCCCACTCTGCTCCGCCTATGCATGCTGGCGTTGTCGGTCTCAGTATTTTCAGCATGCTTTGGGGTGTGATTTCAGTGGCGTGTGCGTATGTCTGGGGTTCCACTTGTGGGGTGTTGGCTTGTGCGGACGCTGGAGTTTGAAGCTACGAAGTCGCAGGCTCGAGGTTTCAGGCATCACAAGGGCCGGAAGGATCAGGCTAGGGCTGTTAGGGTATGCTAATCTAGGGGGCCTTAGTAATTAGAACGAAAATTATAATAAGGAACCCCAGAATAGTTTAGGTAATTATTTCGGCCCGTATAGTACTGACGAAGGCCACGATGCAAGTCTTGCCTTCGCTAGTTCATCCTTGAAGCAAACTGCTCAAGCTACCAGGGCAGAGGGTTCAGTGAGTGTGGGTAATTATTGGGAGTTTCCGAAAACAAGGGGTACCTTATTTGGGGACCCTTATAATGAGGATCCTACTATTTAGGGTACTATACGAGGGTCCCCTAGTTCCGGAAGCTCCCTTGTGCAGAACATGACATCAGCGAGCTCCTAAGGTGTGCCGCGGTTGCCTGTATGGCGACATAAGCATGGAGTGCACTTTCAAAGTCCCTAAACCCTACACGCCTAACCCTGTGGCGCGGCCTGTGCCAGGTGGACTGGCAGAGGGTGATGTCCCACCTGTCATGGCGCAGTTTAAAAAGCTGTCTAACTACAGTACCAATACTTAGTGGATTCAGCTGCGTGTGCTCACCGTGTTATCCGTCTCAGACCCCTCCGCTGATGGAAGACTTACAAAGTCCATGAAGAACCACCATCCTGTTTGTGCGCACCCTGCCTTTGGCATGTGTATGTCATGCTAAAATTCCTGGACGCAGGACTGAGCAATTTGCAGACTGTGCCTTCCAGAAATACGGATAGCCAGCAGTTTCAAAATCACAACCACCGCTGCAGGAGATGACAATGACTGTTGATTGTCTGCATGCCTGCCCCCACGCACCGCCGGGAACAAATGGACAACAAATACCGAACCAAATGGAAAAGGACTCTCGCAAAAATAGGGACACCACTGTTGAACTGTTGGGTGACTGTTAGGGTGGCCGGTACTTAACGACAACTACAATAACAACGACGACAGCAAGTCGAACGATAACAGCACAACCATCAATGGCAACAAAAGGTTGATAGTATGCAGAACGCAAGACCAGGTGAGAAAATCAATTGCCCTTATCGTCACCTTGATTGGTAGCAAGCCTTATAGAAACCTTACACTTGCACCAAAACTTGCGTTCTTGTTAAGCAAACCAACTAAGTTCTAAGTTACCATAACAAGGATCTACGGTAAATAGTATAGTTTCCTTATTATGGTAACTTAAATTAAACCCCTTAACAAGAACTCAGCAATCCTTAAAGCACCCATGTAATGGGCCTCGAGAGTCTGGCTTGTAGCCCTCGCTTTGGGGCGCGGAAGTGGGAGGCGTCTTGCCTGCTTTACGGTTCAAGTTTGCGGTTACTATAAAGGCTCGCTCAGACTTGCTATAAAGCTGCTTAATAACGGGGGTGGCTCATATAATTTATGATAACAGTGACAGTGGTGCATGAGTTAGAGATTTTAAGATTCATAGGGGGCTTCTCAATAAGATGGGTGCATCAGTTAAGATATTTAGGGTTTAGGGTGTGGGATGTCTGATTAAAGTGCTGTCGGCAAACTATGCAAATCTGCAGTCACTTCTCTCGATTCTGATAGAAACAGCATTTGATCTAACTCGAGAAATTCCCTGAACCCTCAAACCGATAAGACCCAGGCCTTAAGTCAACATCAGCGATCGTGGTGACGCAAGCACATGCTGAGAGGCTGCTACCCCAAAAACCCTTGCAGAAATCGGTTTCGAAACCGTTTCAAGCTGAAACCGCTGTCGAGTTTCTTTGACAGCGACTCTGAGATTCCGGTAACAGAGACGTTTGGTCGAAAGGCTACAGCCGGGGGACAGAAGGACAGGGCCCTCCAACATGGAATGACCTCCCACAGCTTTATTGTAGAACCTGAACCTCTAAACCTTAAAGTCTTAAACTCTGTAAGCCGTACAAGCCCTGTAAGCACGTTGAACCAAAAAACATTATGAACCTGAAAACCTATAAGCTCGATGAGCCCTATGTAAACCCTTTCAACACTCCCCCAAAACCCCAAACTTACAGACCCTATCCCTCCAAAGGGCGGCACACCTCCCAAACTCCCCGCGTCCAGGGGCTCGCCATCCAGGACGGCCAGTGATGTTCCGGGCCTCAACGCCTCAAGAAGCTGCTGACCTGGGCTCTATGCCTACCGTAATGGTTAGGGTTTAAGGAGCAGGTTGTCATGGGGTTAGCATTGCAGGAGTTACACAAGGGTCACTTTGTAGTGTTATTTGAGGTTGGGTGACCCTTCAAAAGTGATTAGACGGATGATTATAGGGAGTACTATGGGGGATGGGGGGTGCTGAAAAGGTTACTCTACGGGTCGTTATACGGGCTACAGCAGATGCCGAATTTGCGGGATCACAAAGTGATGAGAAGCGAGAGTGAGTGAGTTCGAGAGCGGGCTACAGCAACTCGAAGCTGTATGTGTAGATTCTAGATGTAGGCAGAGCAGGGTTGTCTGAGACACGATCTAAATGCACGCCTGAACAGGCAGGCAATGCAACTTTGCAACGATGCAAGAGTTGAGGCAGAGATGAACTTGAGAGCGAGCGCACGAACCGATTGAGGGAGGTAGGCGAAACATGCAATCCCCGTTCTGTCCAAGGAAAGGAGTACAGACTGCGTCAGCTTAGACCTCCAAGAGCCGGACGTTCCATGGGCAGACGAAACGCCTCGTTCCTCGGATTCTGCCACCCCAAACTCAAGGTGCAACACCCTGGGCTGCAAGATTCAAATCCTTTAAACCAACAATGGCCAACACATTGAGGAGCGTCGGCAGAGACTGCGGTCGCTTCCGAACCGATCTTCCATCAAACGCCGCGGGAACAGCCTTCCACCTTTGAGAATCCACCTCGCAGCATCAGTCTGCGGCTTTACATGACCTCAACAAATCGCCAAGAAGCTCGGCCACATCTAGGGCGCGGAGATGCGGCAAAGCAGCCAGTGTGGCAAGAATCTCCTGCTATCTGACAACACCCCTGCGCATTCTGCAAGATGTGCCAGTACTGGTAACCGTAGATTCCAAACCCTAAACCACCCAGCAGTAAGGCTCCTGAGATCCCCCAGAGTCCTAGAGGCAACGAAGCAGGAAAGCTGCAAACGCTACAGCAGACGGCCGCCACTTTGGGGAGTAGGGTTTAGGGTCACATGTCAATTCTACATACATGCCCGTGGCCACCAGGATGCGATTTCAAAGACTCCATGGAGCATTTTTTGTAACCAAAAAGCGGATGCGTCCAAGCGCTGCAGATGCAAAGGCACAAGCGGCCACAGCCACAGAGATTCTGCGTTTCCAAATAGCTTCGGGACGTGCATGTTCGTGGGATTACAACCGGAACTAAACCTGAAAGCCCAAACCAACCCTAAACACTAATCCCCTAGCCTTAAATCCTAAACCTAGGTCCTGCGAAGTGTCGGCGGCGAGCTGGTTTCCAAGCAGTGAGAGCTCCTTGCTGCGCCGGAGAACCAAGGACGATGCATGGCTTTGCACATTGCCTCTTCTTGGGATTAGGGATTTAAGGTTAGAGATTGGGGTTTAGGGGTTAGGGTTTAGGGTTTAGGATTTGGAAGTCGGACAAGCCCAATTCTCTTCCGGTCATCATCACAGAAACACAGATCGGTGGAGCTGGGACATCAACCTTCGCTCACCCAGAGCTGCGGCTTCACTAAGCTGGCTGTCGTGCAACATCATCTGGTTGACCGTAGTTGGGAGAGCAAGGGTCCTACGGCATGCATCGAACCTGCATCCCCTGTCTAAAGTGGCCCTGAAGTGTTGGGAGTCTTCTTCAAAGCACTGCCCCAGCCTCCAAGCGGCCACATCCGCATTCCAGGCCTGTCGCTCTGAAAAGGGTCACAGTTTCAGAAGTGAGTGGAAGAAGTGCCTGGAAAGGACTCTTGCCTATGGCCAGCGTGCTGACGAGCTGCACAGCTTCGTGGATAATTGCAGAGTAGCAGCCACAGGCTTAGCAGCTGTGAACAGAGCTGGTGGTGCGGGCACTTTCAGTGATTCTTGCAGGGAAAGCTTTGTTACATGCAGTCCAAAACAACCTCCTTCATCCAAGAGAGGCCGCCTGCGATGCTTCGTATGCGGTTGTGCGCCACGAAAGCCTCACAGTGTTTGCAGCTGACCCTTCACATAAGTGAAAAGATAAGCACATGTGGCAGGCATTTGCACATGCACCGCACAGCCAGAGACTCCAAAATCCCTTAATTACGGAACATACCTTAAACCATCATAGGATCCTTAATATGATTTAATGTATATTCCTTCATAAAGGTATTTTGGAGGCTCTGGGCACAAGGCAACCCGTGCGGACGAAGGCCCTGCAAACAACAGAACCTTATTCTGAACGAGCTTCGAAAACTGTTGCACATGTAAGATAACTACTATGTTACAGTACTACCTTGAGTGTTATATTGTTAAACCAGTGCATGTTTATGAATCACCACATGCTTATATTAGTATATTATATATTAGACCCGTTATATAACCATATACGTTAATGCATATAAGTACATACATTAATCACGTAGTACTCTCGTTTGGCAGCCGGCATGGCGTGGGCTGGGAGAGAGAAACCGTCGGAGCCTTCGTCAGCTGCTCACACTCGAACAGGGGGCTCAGGTCCTGCTGAACCAGTCTTACACATAAGGTTTTTGGGCTTGGGCCAGGGTTCAGGGGGTTGGGGGTTTCGGGCTTCGGGCCAGTACCGGGGTTTGGGTTGAGGGGGTAGGGTGGTTCAGGGTTTAGAGCCAAGTCTTGGGTTTAGGGTTCAGGGGGTAGGGGGGTTAGGGTTTGGAGCCAAGTTTGGTGTTTAGGATTCGGCTGGCCCGCCACACGGAACTTTCCGCATGCACAGCCCCGTCCTCGACTTGGTTGAAGTTGAGGTTCACCTCCGGGGCTGGTGGATGCAGAGATGCATGGTTTAGGGTTCCAGGTTTGGGGTTTTAGGGTTCCGGTTTAAGGCTTAGGGTTTCGGGTTTAAGTTTAGGGTTTCCGGTTTAGGGTTCATGGTTTAGGGTTTCGGGTTCAGGGCTCTGCGTTAGTGCTTCCTCGCGAAGCAGGAGATCCTTTTCGGAGACCCTGCCCCCCACCTAGGTCCCAAACTCTAAACCCTGAAGACAACCAAGCCAACATACAAGACTACAAAAATAAGATTCCATGTGTATATTCATATTATAGTAATATAGTAAATTCATAGAGTAACATAATATAACGACAATATATACACGGGTAATCATATCGTCGTGTAATATGAGCTGCAGCACTGCCCCGAAACTTCCAAAGCCTCGCGGAGAGCCACCAGTGGCCGGAGGGGCTCCAGGTCTCGTAGCTCGTTGTGGGAGAGGGAGAGGACCTGCCACGTCGACTCGGACACTTTATCTTGAGTGCCTACAGGCGCTTGCAATCAGGATCTGATTCTTTGGGGTCTATACGTATGTGTATGTATATGTGTATATATATATATACATATCTATATACATAAATAAGAATAAATAAATAAAGCAAAAACAATATATATATATATATATATAGATATGTTACCTTGCATGGCAAGGCCGGAAGGACGGGCATGTCCCTAGGGTGAGCCGGATTCTGCCAGTCGTTATAAAGCCCCCATGCCAAGCCCTGCAAAAATGACTGACAGCCGGCCTCCAGGCCTGACAGGCGCACGAAGTCCACGGTGCCTGCTTGGAGGCCCAGTGGACTTAGGGTTCCTTCTCGGTTCCTTCTGGGGCTCCTTTCCGGGATCGTCAGGGGTACTGTACGGTTCTATAATGGGCTTCACTTTTTGGGTTTAAGGTTTAGGCATGGAGGATCACGGGACTTAGGGTTCCTTAAAGGGTTCCTTCAGGAGCTCCTCAAAGAGTTCTATAAGGGCGATCTGTAGGCGTTTTAGGGTTAGGGTCATGGATGTCTAAGGACGCCCCATAAAGGGTTGGTGCTGCGAGGACTAGACATGCCAAAAGGTTTCGTGTATGATTTGTTTGGGGGGTCAAAAACTGAACCCGACCAATCCCTCTCTATAAACCCGACAAACCCAAATCCCTTGAACCCCTACTGTGAAGCCTTAATCATTTCTTCCTGAACCTCAAACCCTTGAATCCGTAAATTCCTAAGCCCTGAATCCATAAACCTCTGAATTAAGACCGGGCCCCTTAGACCTCTTTGGGCATCCTCCGAAGCTCTCCCCATGGATCCAAAGGACACAATAATTAGGCTCTCGGTTTTAGGATAGTGCCGTTGATGATATAAATCCTGCATTACCTTAAGGACCCTAGACTACGGGAATTCTGGTATATTCCTCATCATGGGTAATGCACGATTTATATCATCAACCGTAGCTCTGTAGGTTAGTATTTTGGAGAGTACATGACTACCAGGTGTCGATTTCAACAGTCCCTCAAATTATATGTGCAGGGCTCTATATTCAGCAATAATAGGGAAATTAAGAATCATCCCAAGCCGATACCTAGATTATAAGGGTCTGAGCCTGGCAAGTCCAGGCTACGGAGCCGCTGATAGCGGAAGACGAGGTGGCGAACGTCCTCGACCTCAGGGCCCAGCTGGCCTAGGGTTTAGGGCTTAAGGGTTTAGGTAGGGTTTCAGTTGAGGGGAGGGCATCTGGGAGGCTTTCTGGAGATCTGGGATCTATTTTCGAACATTTTGAGTTTGCTGTTTTTTTGGGGCCCCTTTTTCCTGTCACTTCTATCTGCTCCTGTGTAGTTGCCATCGGCTGGTGCTCTTCAGCCTTCGTTTTTTTTTTACGGAGCCTTCGGGATAAGACCGGGTTAGGACATCTGCAAGTACAAGATCGGAAATCGGGCTGGACATGCAGTCAGAAGCCATGAAGAGTCTAAAGCTTTCTAACTAATTAAATGAATATACACTAAATTATAGTAGGACCCTTAATATGATTTAAGGTATACTCCTTAACTAAGCGTGTTCGAAGTCTCTGAGGGCCTGACATTTCATCCTGAACCCTTCCCAACCCTAAACCCTTAAAAGACAAGTAGGATGCGCTTCATCATCACCCCGAAACCCCTAAACCCTAAACCCATCACCTTGCCCCTCACGTCAAACTCGCTGGTTCTTGGGATCCGGGCTGCATCCTCTCCTGGCATATTGTACAAGAATTCTAACGTGTGGGGGTACTGCTGATATATACATACGTATATATATATAAATTAAGGGATACCATGTGATGTCCTCAATACTTCTTCCGACTCTTCTAGTTCGCGGGGCCGTGAAACAACACAGCTCAAAGGTAACCCTCGGTGCTTCTAGCACCCAACACCATCGCGGTTGCCGCTGGAATGTGTGGGCCTGGCGTGCAAAACAGCTCACACCTATGGGTCCTGATGCAAAACCGGACCCATCCAAGTGCCCAATAGTTCACTCGAGACTCACACTCTAAACCCAAAAAAGGCCGAAATCCGAAACTCAAAGCAACCGAAGCCCTTAGCAACTGAAAGTTCCAGGCAAGGCAAAGTTTAGAGTCCAAAGCCCGGAAGCACCAACCCACAAAGGGCCCTTGTAGAGCTCGTTTAGAACATGTGAATTTCAGGAACCGTTATGGAACCACTATAAAATCCGTAAAGGAAGCCTTTAAGATCCCTTCAAGGGAACCCTTAAAAGAATTAGCGCCTGAAGCCACGAGGACGGCAGGCTCCGACAAGATGGACGGGCCTCCGGCCGGGTGTTCGGTGTGGTTCTGTGGGCTGTCTTGGGTTGAGTTTCGGGTTTTTAGGGTTTTGGGTTTCGGGTTTCAGGCTTAGGGTTTTGGGGTTTAGAGGGTTAGTTGTTCGGGTTTTGGGTTTCGGGTTTCAGGTTTAGAGGTTCAGGGTTTAGGGTTCAATTAGGGCTTAGAGGTATATGGCTTAGCAGTCACGTGGCTGTTTAGGGTTTAGGGTTGAAGGTTCTTTTTACATGCAATGTACCTCTGCCCTAAGGGCCTTGCATTATAAATCGGCAGCCGAAGCTGGGGCTTAGCTTTTAGGGTTCAGGGTTGAGGGTTCTTTTTGCATGTTTACCTGCGAAGCGAAGCATCAGGTGCGCCCTGAAAGGCTTGCACCAGAAATCTGCAGCCAAAGCTAGGGTTTAGGGTTTCGGATTTAGTAGCTTCGGCACGTTCCCTGGTGGTGAAGCCTCGACTCTAGAAGCAGCCCTAAACCCCAAACTCCAAACCCTAAACTCCAAATAGACCGTGGACTCCAAACCTCGCTCTCGTTCTCCCGTGCCTCCTGTAGCAGGCCGGCTGGGGGCCTGCACGGGGGCGGCACGCCCGGCGATGAGGTCCTGTCAGATGGTCTACCTAGGGTTTAGGGCTTGCGACTCCCGAAGGGTCCATGTATTCAAATGGTACGTACATTGGCCTTAAAGTAGTCCCTAAAGAGGTAAATTTGGCCCAAAGTATATACTAGTTGGGTACATGGACCCTTAGGCCTTAGGCATTTCTCTGAGTGTCTGAGAGTCAAATCTTTCTGATAGATGCCGAACGAATCTTCAACATGAGAACAGTTGTAAGACGCAGCTGCCACTATGGCGAGGGGAACCAAATCGAACTAGCAAACCAGTTGATTGCCCAATTTCTCGTAACTTCCATGTAATCGCAGCTTTGTAGACATCACCTGCTTAGGTTCTTGAGTAGCCCCCTTATAAGAAGGGTACCCTTTTTCCTACGATTGGGTTCTAACAAACGGACCCTAACATAAAAAGGGCAACAGGGTACTACTCAGGAACCCTTAAAGGGACCCTTATAGAACCCTTAAAGGATCCCTTATAGTAACCTTATAGGACTCTTATAGAGCCCTTAAAGGATCCCTTATAGTACCCTTATACCCTAAAACCCTAAACCCCCTGAACCCTAAACCCCCTACAGTAAACCTCATAAAGTTGGAAACCTGATTATGGCCACACAGTGCTGGGATTCCCTACACATTACCCTTACGGATTGAGGCTATACGGTTTCCAACTCTTGGGCTTCCACTATAACTATAAACCCCCTGAGCCCTAAACCCTAAACCCCAAACATCAGAGAGTGTCCTCGATCGCTGCGAGGCCTTCCGCTAATTCATCTCGGATCGGCGGCGGCTCCTAAGTGAGGTTAAAATAAGTCTTGTTGAAAGTAACTTTAAGGGATCCTTAAAGGGGTTCCGGGTTCTATAGAGGGTTGAGGGTTAAAATACTATAGGATTTTATAAAGGTGGTACTATTCAAAAGGTATTTAAGGTCACTTTGAGGGTCCTACAAGGGATCTATAGGGTTCTATAAAGGGTTTAGGGTTTAGGGCCCCAAAACGGGATATCCGGTACAAACCCGCACGTCTTTGGTCGTGAAGTATGTTATAAAGCTTTTGGGATTTAGGGTTCCGGGTTTAGGTTGTAGGACAAAAGCAGAATACTATTGACTCAGAACCCCCTAAAGTACCCCAAGTGAGGACAAGCCGATCCATCATGCAATAACGATCCGTCAGTCGCGTGAGCGTGTTGCACCCAAATATGGAACCACTGAATTTGAGAAGCCCCTGGTAAAGCCACCCTTGTTGTTGAAGATATGCAAGAAACTCATAGAACTCCTCACAGCAACTCTGAAAAGGAGGACCCTTCAACGGAGCCCGGAAGCCCCAAACCCCTTGATCACTTAACCCGAAACCTCTAAACCCCTAAACTCCCCAACCGCTAATGTAGGAACCTGATTAAGAAACCTCTATGTAAATATGGATCCTAATATATTGGCGTTATAGGGCGGGTTTCTTAATCAGGTTCCTGCATTAGACCCCGAAAGCCTTGAACCTCGAAACCTCTAAACCACTAAGTTAACAACCCTAAACCTAAAACCGCCGGGGCTGCGGCTTCACCTTCCACGCCTTCGGCGACCTCGGGGACCCCGTCTTCGCCCTGAGCGTCGACGTCGTCCTCGGAATCTGCCACGAGGCCTCGAAGCGTTGCGGCTCCAGGGTCGTTTTAGGGCTTCAGGGGTTTAGCATTTTCGGGTCTAGGAGTTCAGGGTTAGGGTCTATATAGTCTTCTCCTAAAGGGGTTCTTTCTGTCCAAGCTATGTTGACGCGGCTCCAAACATCCATGCACCCTTACAGTAACCCTGATAACGACCCTTGCTTACATAACCTTTATAGTTTCAGTAATCCTAAGCTCGTTACACTCAGAGTACGCCCCCAGCCTTCAAGAATTTCTTCTTGGAGTCTCTTCAGCTCCTGGACCGTTCCCGGTGGTCGGACAAGCACACGAAACACACACCGTGGCGTACCCTGTTCAACCACCTGACCTAATTTAGCGGCCTTAATAATTAGAGTAGGGTTTAAGGACATGTTATACTATGGTTACCGTGCCCGAATCGAGGCCTGAACCCGAAATACGTTGCAGCTGACTTACAGTCTTGAGTCAAAGCCAGCGATCCATGCAGTCAACAAACAAGCAGGTTGATGGGAGGCCAAAAGGCGGGTTTAAGATTCTTGGGGTAGGGATTCCTCAATATGAACCCTATTATGGGAACCCGAATCCCTACTAAACCCCCATTGGCTAAAACCCTTTTGGTCTCCTACGATAGGTTGCGACAACAACTCGGCCTCTTCGCCGGCGATGCCAGGCAGGCAGGACGGCATTTCTCCATCCAGCAGCTACCCGAAGTCACCAGCTCGGGGTCACATCTGTGATTAGGCAGCTAGGTAAAGGACGCAGCCGCTTGGAATTGTGGGCGGCACTTGTGTGGTGATGTTAGGAATCAACAAGACGGTCCAAGGACGACCAAACGAAGATGTCACGCTTGAGAAAGCATCGGGGCACAAGGGTGTATGACATCTTGGAACTCACACATTCGTCCGAAAGGGCGAGGGACGCTGGCAGACGCCGTCGATGCTCGCAAATCCGGATCCGCCCAGTTCAGTTCTACTTCTTTCCATTCGAATTATACAAGATTCTAGAAGCTCACCAGGGACCCACAACGCAGTGTGCTAGTATGGAGACATTATTGATTAGAACAGTTCTTTTTTTCGGGGCGGGGGAGGCGTGTATATTTGTCTAAAGAAGGGATATGACCTTAAAGCATAGGTACATTTACCTGCTTCAAGGTACCTGGTTACTCTCGGCATGATAGGTACTTTTCAAGAAGCACACGCATCATTAAAACAACTCATGCCTACAAGGAGACATCCTTCCCTGTAGCCAGGCTAACTTTCAGCCCCGTTTTTTGAAGATGGTTCCTGCGAGGCTGAAGCTGGGGGAGGACTTTGTAGGGTTCACGGCTCTTTAGAGTTCCCCCAAGGGTCCAAAGGACCCAATAATTAGGTACTCGGTTTTAGGATAGTAGTTACGTAGGTTGGGATTCGGGAGAGTATATGATTATTAGGTACTTGGACCCTGGGGGTTCAGGCGCATCCAAGGCCTTCCCAGAGGAACTGGACGAGTTGTTTCGTCGACCCTTCGGCTCTGCAGAAATTCCGTAGCTGAAAGCCGTCATGACTAAGGCTTTGGAATGGCAAAAGTGTAATTAAGGGTTAGGGTTCAGGACGGGTTTAGGGTTAGCTGGGGTTTTTTAGGTTTTAGCGGAGGATTTAAGTTTTAGGGGAGGGTTCAGGGTTCCGGGTTTTGGTCTGCTTTGGATAGATTTTGTGGCGACAAGTCTTGCGCGCTTTGCTTGGATTAACTTTGGCGGTCGCAACGTGGGAGTTTCGGTAACAGGGGACCCTACGGTCGATGATATGAATCCTGCATTGCGCATAATAAGGAATATATCATAATTCCCATAGTCTCGGGTCATGAAGGTAATACAGAATTTATATCATCAACCGCGGTATCGACCTCCAGCAGTACAAGACTCTTTGGTATTTTTCGCCTCCACCGATATCATAAAACTATCAGGACCAGATCCCCTGCTTTCTGAAACTGCCACTTAAGTGCAACTGCGCGGTGATGCTCGGAAGCCATCGTTTTGATAGCTCCTATACAGAGCAAGCTGCTGCGTTCCGTAGAAGCACCGGGTTTGATGCATGGTGAGACGGCTTCTGCAGGAAGCTGTATCATCACTGTATAATTTCCTGCAGTGCTGCAAAGTGCCGCCCAGCTTTTCCCTATATTCCCCGACACATCATCACCGGGGAAAGATGCTAAGCCGACGGTTCAATCAGAGCTCCGCAAAGGGAACCACAAGCTAGGAGGTGTCTGCCACACCTTGCGAGTGCGCACAGATGGTTGTTCCAACAAGATCCCCTTTTTGAATTCTTCTAGAGCCCTCACCGAACCCTAATAGAAAAGAAAGCCACGCATGCAACCTAAACCTTGCAACCCTAAACCCTAAACCCGCTTTAAGCACAGGGTCGACATGATGAAGGGAGCTCCGAACTTTCTGAAACTGATGAAGGCAAGCCAAATTTAATTTATCAAAATGAATTCTCAGGGCCCTTTAATGCTGGTTTAAGAAAACTAATACTGTAAAGGAGCCCAGAGCCCGATTAAAACCCTACTCTGAATTTTTTAAGGTCCCCATATTGCCATGCACCTGCCTCCCAACCGAAAGCTGCCATAGTGGTCCCGCATCAGCGCTTGCCGAGTCCTGCAGAGCAGAGTTGGCTAGTCAGGGTTCCTTTAAGGGTTCCTGTAGGAGTTCCTATTGGGATGCTATAGGGTTTAAGGTTTTGGAATTAGGGTTTTGGACATTCGGCTATAGCTTCGTCAACCCTAGTCATATTCCTGAATACTGATAATCCTGATCCCGGACCCTGAAACCTGATGGTAAAATCATAGGAAATAACCCTCACCACAAAAACCCTTAGCAAGCTGGACGCTGTCCTAACAAGCCCTAACACTCGGCATGCTGTCCTTCGATTGCTCTGGAAGCCCTCGAGAGCATCTGCGTTGGAATACTCAACCTTGCACTCGGCCGCAGGCTCAGATGTAGGGGCTTTCATTCCCAAAGGGTCCTATGTACGGATATAATAGATGTAGGGTTTCCATATTAGGAATTACTATTATGCCTTAGGGAAGTATCCCCCAATAACAGTACGCAGGACCTTCTGGGATTGCTAGAAGAAGCTTCTACTGAAGGGTTCCTCACAAGGGATGGATAATGGGGTTCCATAAGATGGGGGATCTTCAGAATTAGGCTAAGGTTTGAGGGCTAAATTATGAGGACTCTGAGGGAATACTATTGCCAGCTGTTCAAGCCCCTCGTTTAGCTTGCCATCCTTTGCCGAACTCCACAACTTGTAGGAGGAGCAGGACTCTCAGTCCATTCCTGACATGCATGTGCAGATGCTTCGCCAGTCTTTGCTTTGCTGTGCATGCTATGCTAATTGATTTTGGGCTCCATAGAGATGGTACAGCTGCTAGGTTCTCAGCAGCTGCCCTCAAGCACGCCAAACTGGACCAAAGCCTGTATGCGTCTGGCAGGCCTTGAGGCTTTAGGGTTTCGGGTTCAGGGTTTTGGGTTTTAAATAGGGTTTCGGGCACAGTGGCACCTGCAGGCTGCACAAAGCACCCACGCCTGCGTAATCTTTCCCGTCTGCTCTTCACGCTCCTGCGGCATTAATGCTCTCGTACTGATCAACACTTGTGTGAGCGCAGGTCAGAGCTTAAATGAGTCCACTACTTGGTCACTTGGACCTACCATCGACCATCCAACTCCCCGTGTCAAAAAAGCAAGAGTGCAAAGTGACGGAACGCCCATGTGCCACCGCTCATGAGTCCAGAATGACGTACGTGGGTGATGGGGGTGTTAGCCAAGCCCAGGCCTACAGAAACTTCAAAAACAACTAGCTACCATCCGAAACAGATCTAGACTTCACACAAAACACTGAACGTAGGCTGAGTGGACTCCATGAACCCGTAGGATTGAACTGAATGATTCACATTGCACCGTATTAGAGACAAGCCGACCCTACACACAGCCAAACGAGTTCGTCAAAGCCTGCTCACATGCTGCCCACAAGAAGCAAAAGCGCTATCATAAACTTTACTGTACTCTATACTATAGTATACCATGCTGCACTATGCTATACGTTACTACACTATATACTATGTGACAAAACCGTCCTCCCGTTGAAGCTGCTGCTCGCGTTTCGAGGCCAAGCGCTTCCATTGGAGGACCTGGCATCCCCAACACGAACAACGCACCAAATCCAGCACCCCTGTGTATATATATATATATATGTATGTATATGTATAAATATAAACAAATACATATATAGATGTATATATATATATATACACACACATATTGGCGGGCGCGGGATTCAAGGAGCCCCTTGTTCCCCTGTGAGTGTCTACAAAGTGTGGATTTCCTTGCAACTCCCACCTTACTCGGGGTCGTTACAGACTCCACACAAGTTCTGCTCTGACAAAGCCTTCCTATTGCTTATTTAGTACAGTCCTAACGAATTACCTATTCTTCGTCTCTTAAATACGGCCGAATATTTAAGACGCCCCTGGGTGCCTGGCACATCTCTCAAACTCTAACCCTTGAAACCCAAACAACTGACCAATGACACGGCACTAAAGACTTGCCAAACACACCTATGCCGGGTGCGGGGCCTACGTATTTCAGCTTTACCACTTGATCTTATGGTAAACACCCGATGTCTGTTAAAAACTTGCTTTTGGATACCAAAAACCCATGTTTTTGCTTAAAACCAAGGTACGTCTTAAATCCCGCGTCTCTCTCTCTCTCTCTATATATATATATATATTGTGGTATATCGCAGTATATTCTGGTAGGATATTTCCTGTAGCATATTCAAGCAGAATATGGTACATTGTAATCTGTCATATAACAGCATGTATTTAGAAGGCTTGCCAGGACTCTTCGAAGAGACCGAAAGGGTATCTGCAAAAGCGCAGCCCTACTGTTGAGCCTGTGGTTCACCGTGCGGAAGCGAACACTTTTGAGCATTATATGTACAGAATTGTACGCATTACAATATACAGTGTATTGTAGGTAGCATTACACATCTTATCTTGAAAACCATATAAATATACAATGGGAAAAAATAATTACTCTCCAAATCACCGGCCTCTGCTGCAGCACCGTCGGGCTGCACGGCCTGTCGATGCTGGTACTTCTTAGCGAAAGTTTCCACGGGACTTAGTAAGTACGGTTGGAAGTTTTTAGCTAGGGTTACAACTTAGAAGTACGGTTACTTACCTTTTTTGGTAACCCGCAGATTTCCGCAAGTTGAGATGAAGCTGTATTAGCAACATATCTTGCCATATAATAGTGTTATCTTCGTATTCTTTTAGTAGAAAAAAGAAACTGTTGGTCGTATCCGTGTATGTGACGGGACCCGATCTGTTACTGCCGACGATCGCCGAAGCCCTTGGGGAACCCGTAGAGGAACCCCTATAGATCCCTTATAGAACCCCCAAACTGTCAGGAGGCCCAGACCTTGAACCTATTCTAAACCCCGGGCCCTAAGCATATGCAAACCCGAAAGAGTCCCCTTTCTGGAAACCCTTCTCGCGTTTTTTTGCTCCTTTCTTCGGATCCGCACTTGGAGCAAGCGCAGTGGAAGCCGAAGGCCTGAAGGTCAAGTCTGCCATGACATGCCCGGAGCCTCCTAAACCCTATTAAAGAAGGAATATATACCTGAAACTATATTAATGGGATCCCTAATATGACCGAATGTATATTACATTCCTTAAGGGGTTTGGAGGCTCTGGGTAAGGGGCTACCATAAGTCAATAAGGCTATAGTCTTTTAGGGTTCCTTCGAGGGTTTCTACACGGCTTCTTATCTGCAGCGTTCCCACAAAGGGTTTCTTTCAGGTCTTTATGTGGGCTCCACAAGGGTCTGTAAGGGTTCATATGTTAAGTCGGCTTAGGGCACATCATGAGTAAGTATGTTAGTTGGGGTTGTGGCACATCATGTGGATTCTTGCCCTAAAGAGTTGAGGATGGAGAGTTTGTCGACGGGGTGACCGCAGAGGGCACAGATGTCGCCACGATCTCTCTACGTTCTTGGCCGCTTCAGTGCAAGCCCCCCGATCGCTGCCTTTCGAAGCCGCTGCTGGCGTGCCTTCCCAGAGATTCTCGGATTCAGGATGTCATGGTCCCTGGACTGCATCTACGGCAAGACGAAAGCACCAAGGTCAACGGCTCGGCTCCAAGTTCCACAAGGTGGCAGAATGCACACGGAACAGCCAGAATGCCGGCGCCTCTCGGTTGCCAGTGATGGACAAGTACGCGATTGTGAGCTCCTTCCAGTCTGGTAAACAAGGCACGTGCTCAGCTGAAACCTCTGCTCCAACTTGCTGCGAGTCGCTTCGAGATCTATACAGCACAGCTCCTTCTCGTAGCTTTGCAACCCTAAACCCTAAACCCTAATGAGCGCTACAAGTCCCGTCAACTCCGAAAACCTTTCAGCCACGGAACGCCGCCGCGTCGTACCCGGCGCTGCGCCTCGAGAACGAGGACGCCATCACGGACAAACCAAAGGCACCTAAGTCAAGGGTGTTGTGTTTTGGGGTTAGCCCACAGGGTCCTAAGTAACTACGTACTTAGCACTAGTATAGTAGAAGGTAAGGTTTCTATAACCGGAAATTCGATTACGCTTGGGGTATCGTACCCCCCTATTGGTACTAAGGACCTAGACGGTGGGAGACACATGGTGATTGCTTTTCAAGGCGGCATTTGGAGAAGTTGGCAAATTGAGAGAAGTGCGCTCGGACGCTTGAATGATTGTGTGTCACCAGAAGCTAGTCCATTGTTGAGGTGCTGCCTGCAGCTCCTTCATAGTTGAGGTGCTGCCGTGTGCAGGCTATGTTTGAATGAACCGTGGTCACTCTCCAATCTGAAGGAGGTTTGTCTCAACTCCAGTCCAACCATCCCCTCATGCACGAACAATGAATGAATCCATGTAACAAAAACCCGAAAGACTCAAGCAAGACCATCCGGAATCTCAATCCTCAACCCTAAACCCTAAAGGTGCTTCATGGTTCCCCGGTTCCCCTGCCAACCACCCTGAAGCTCTGGTGGCTGCCGTGTCTCACAGACCAGGCAAGGCACGAAGGATCGCACGAGTGGTTAGCCATGGCGCCGGAAGGGTAGAGCGCGATTCCTTCGACTGAAGCTTGAAAACACCATGACAGTGATCGACTGATCCTTGACTCTGTAACTGCAGATTGTGCTGCCAGGTGGAAACCGCCTGGCATAAGTACTTTCTGTTTTTGGCTCTGCCCCTTGCTCGCCAGCTCTCTCTCTCTCTCTCTCTTCCTCTCTGTCGCTCTCTCTCCGCTAGCGGCGGCTAGCGGCACACTCATGCTCTGTCGTCTTGCACACACGAAACTTGCGGCAAGGCTGGTCGTACACGATCATGTACATGGCAATTGACATCAGGGCTCTCAACACCCGAAGCCAACAAAATCCTGCACCATCACATATCAGAAACTCCTATAGGAATCCTAGATCCTACAAGCCTCGCAGAAACCTTTATGCCTACTTGCGTGCATGACTCAGTGTCAGTACTCCGTTAAATTACTTTGGCCCTCGGCGAGTGCGCCTTTCTCTCGCCAGCGCGTTCCGGATCGAAGGGGCCCCTGCCACTAAAGGGAGTGCTTCCCATCTACAGGACCATACTTGCAGGACCATGGGACTTAGTAACTATAAGGTCATAGATATGGACCATAACTATTTACAAGAACCACGATAATTGAAAGGGTTCCCGCATTGGTTCTTTAGTTAAGGCCGTTACCCGGAGTGTGAGGGCTTCGTGGGCTTACTCATTAGAGTAGGGCTTCGGCCAGAAGCTAGAGAGCTGAAGAAGCAGTTCGCCAAGAACGTATAGTATGTAGCCGGGTTGGGTTTAGGGTTCATAGGGCTTAGAGTTTAGGGTATGCAGCCGACAAAGAACAACACAGCCCCTGTTTGCACTTGCAACTGAAACCCTTCACATCCCTGTAACTAACTGTCATAGAAGCCTTATAGCAGCCCTTATGGATCCCTGTAATAAGGAACCCTTATATAGATCCCGTCAAAAAGCCCCAACCGATCCCCTCTAAGGCCCTCCAAGATTTCTGGCTGCCTCCGGGACCAGAGCCATGGCATTGAAGGCGATTCTGCAGGTATGGGAAGCTTGGGGACGGCACTACTTGGGGCAAAATTTACGGGGATATCCATCAGGTCTAGCCGTGGTTTCTCTAGGGACTCTAGGGAGACGCGATGAAAAAGAAGCCACAGTTCAAGGTTGCATCACAAAGACACGTGGACTCTCATGGTTCGCCTTGTTCAGGGGGTGTTTTGTTGAGAAGCATGGATAAGCCAAGAAGAAGAGGGCTCTCAGTCTGCCACGGCCACGGCCGTGCGTGTGAGGTGAAGACAGGCCTCGCTCTTTGAAGAGGGTGGGAAGCAACACTTCGTCCTTCTACATTCTCTCTCTCTCTCTCTCTCTCTCTCTCTCTTTTTCAGGTACCTGCATAGCAAGTGGTAGATCTCGTCGCGGCGGGCGGTGAAGAGGAGGCGCACGGCATTTGCGCCGCCTGCAGCACCGACTACCAATCCGAACGTGCTTAAAGTCGTCCTGCAATCTAGAGCATGCACCATCATCATGTGGATCTGCTTTTAGTTTTTGTTGAAGAGTGACAGGATGCACACCACTGAGTCCAAATTCGTCCTGCAAAGCATTCACGATTGCATCCCATTGATGCCTTCGAGTTGCTGCCCGCGCGAGCCGGGCAGGGACTGCCAGGAGCAAGGAAGGGATGCAAGACCCATGACTTGCGATCACAATCGTACCCGGCCTCAACCATGGCATCCAGGTCTTCTTCAGAGGGTGTCAGCATCTCTACGTCCTCCCAAGAGTCGTGGATCACGTCCTGCACTATAGTAGCCGTGCGTCCCACACATCCGAACGCATTCACGTACGTTGTGCTCCATGAGAGGCGGCTCCCTGCAGCTCTGTCTAACAAGCATCATTCATCTCTGTTACAAGTGGCTGGACCCTATAAAACCTTCCGTTTTAGGGCTCCCTCTTATGATTTCCTTACACAAGGTAGATAATTTAAGGAATCTACCTTGAATCAGATCAGGGATCCCATGACTATTCAATAAGGGATATTCCTTAATTAAGGGGTCTTGGGAATTTCCGGGTAATGCATGCTTTTCAGAATCTTGCTGAAACAGTGGTCCTCGTCCTCCGCTGGAACCTGGGGAGCCCCAGCAAGGCTCTCAATAAGAGTTCTGGAGTTCTGCTTCATGCATGTCGCCTGCATAACATAGGGGCCTTAAAAAATTGGGTTGGGAGGTTTGTATATTATATTTATGAGAAGGAACCCTCAACATAGCTGCAAGCTCCTAGCTTCACTTTCTGCACCTGACTTGAGTCTGGGTCTACATAACTTACCAGAAGAGAGGAAGACCAATAAAGGAGCCGTAATTGCTACATCCACCTTGGCCAACCATGCCTGCTTGTCCGTTTCATAGGCAACATAGGTAACTGATCGCATGCATTCCTCCAACCTCTAGAAACAGACATGACAGGATCGCTTGGATGATTTATGATGTAATTTCACTCCTTGCATGGGCTTTGGGGGAATGAAAAACTGAATCAACATGACGATGGCACTGGCACCCGGCTCACCCGACCCGCTTAGATTCGGGTCTGGAACTCTTGTCCGACCCAACACAAGACAAACTGCTAAAAGCTGAAACCCCAACCACTAAGCCATCCTAAACCGCTCAACCATCCCAAACACCCTACTTGGAGGATCATGGGACTTAGTAACTAGGGATATAAATACTATACTTATAACCCCAATTCGGGTACTTATAACCTTACTTACTAAGTCCCATGATCCTCCAAGTAACCCTACCGCAGAAGAGCTAGCCTTCGAGATTCTCCCTGCAGGCAGAGTGTGAGGATGCAGCAGCCCACGAGAGGACAGGACTGACATAGGGTACGAGCAACGCGTAGAATTGAGGGGTTTGGGCGGCGCTGTAGTAGAATCACAAGAAGGAGCCCTCAGGCTGTAAGGAATCATATTTCTGGCTTCTACACTAACTCTGTCAAGCAGCCCAGCCACCACCGCCTTCCTCATCGCTGAGAAGTGGAAGGGACCTCCCAAAGCCAAGCTTCGACATCAAAGTCAACGCCGGCTCGGGATTGAATGCTCCAGAATACTTACCTTGGGTTACCCCTTCTACGAGTAGCATCTCCTGGCCCAGGACAAGGACCCTCCTTGTACAATCAAACAGGGGGATATAGGGGCAGTTAGGGTCTAATAGCGGGTAGATGGAGGGTCTGGGGAGTCAAGGAGGGTTCGTGTTCCGATGCCTTTTATGCTCGAAATCCCTTGAGTCATGGCCTCAAGTGCTGGCGTCTTGGATTCCTTAACTTCCTGACCGGCCCGGGATGTATTGAAAAATTGTGAACTCGATCATAGACCCCAACAAACCCGAAAGACTCACCCGTCTTTCAACGTCTCAAAGCAGCACCTGCAAAAGCATAAATGGAAGTTACCGAGAGTAAGGGGTACCTTACTTTGGGCTCCTTTACTGTGGGCTCCTTATAGTAAGGATCCTACTATTCAGGGTACTATATGAGGGTCCCCTATTTTCGGAAACTCAAAACCCTGAACCCTTTATAGAACCCTTGTAGATCCCTTTAAAGGGTCCCCTCTTTTTGGAAACTCCACAAAGTTGCCGCCGCACCTGTGCCCATAGAGGCTTCTCCGCCGCACGCTCAGAAGACGCAGGGCCAGCCTCCCACAAAATCAACAAACATCTAAGGACTCATATATTAAGGCTTTTGGGCCCAAAGACTTTATAAGGCTTTTGGGTTGGGCTGGGCTATTTTGATGCCCAGGGAAACGGCAGCATGAGCCTGAAAACAAAAACACTACCCTAAGGGTCCTAACACTTTCGGGAACCTCAAAATGTAGGATTTATGAAACCCCAAAGAGACCCAAGGGCTCTCCTTAGGAGATTCCGGACCCTCCTAAGGAGATACCTGGACCCTTAGAAACCCTAGAACCCTTAACCCGTAAATCCTACTAAGACCCTGAACCAAACCCCAAACCCCCAAAGGCAGTAAACCCTAAAACCGCATCAAGCCAAACCCTGCCCCTAAACGGAATCATATGGGAAGGAAAGCTTATGCTAAAACAGTAGAGGGGCCCGAAGAATTAGAACAGGGTTTTCTGGTATACGGTATACTATACTCTATTTAGAATAAGGACCCCTCAACATAGTATAGGTAATTATTGAGGCCCCTGGAGTAGACCACCCAACTTCGTTGAACATTCTTAACAAGCCCTCCAACATAGCCTGCTTGCTCTGATCGGATTCCCCCTTCGTTCGATGAGTTGACAAAGGCTGTCTGTACTTTCTAGTGGTTGAGTGCCCTGAAGCCCGAAAAGGCGATTGTACCAGCCCCGGACAGGCTTAAGATTCCCACCCCTCTGCGTATGACTTCCTATAGCGACTTCCAACACCAGAGCCAAGTTCCGGACCGCATCATGCTGGTGGCGTCTTTGCCCTGGCCTGCAAGGCTCCGTGTGAAATCAATCCAAACACTGGGGAGGGGGGGTTGGCTTTGAGTTTTTCGGGGTGTAGGGTTCGCAGTCTTCGTCCGACTATGTCACTGAACCACTGAAGTCTGCTGTTATCTACGAAAGCCAACCCCCAGTGCTTGCCCTGAGCCCTATTCGCATCAACAACTGCAGTGAAGTTGTGGCCACGCAAACATCTTGCTGTCTGAAACAAGACGAGTATAGTGTACACAGCATGTCCGAAAACTTGCCACGAATTCAAAACCCAGACCCTAACCTACACCCTAACACGGTTGTCTTCGCTGCTTCGACAGCTGTCGCGAAACTTCAAAACCACGGGGTCCTCCTGGAAATCCTTTAGCTGAATCCTCCACGGAACGGCTCTTTATAGTACCCTACTTAGAGCACCCCCCGAAACCCTAAACTCCTAAACCCTGCCCTAAACCCAGCTTCGTGTGCCGTCAAAGGCACCCTGGGCCTCTGGTCCGTACCATTCCTCAAGGTTTCCTTACTATAGGCATATGATCATATACACTAAAATAAGAGTTTCCAAAAATTCGGGGTACCTTATTCTGGGATCCTTATAATAAGGATCCTACTATTTAGGGTACTATATTAGAGTCCCTTGAAAATTGCTAAGGCACTGACTGGACTTGGAAGTAGCCAGTGAGAACAAGTATAGACTTCCATTTCATAATGGCTCCTTTAAGGAGCAAGTACCACAAAAGCATTCAAGAGTTGTAATGTAGGGGCCTTAATAATTAGAATAGGGTTTTGGGGCCCATTATACTATAATTATATTAAGGAACCCCCACCATAATATTGGTAATTATTTAAGCTCCTACATTACTTCAAACCCAGGCTGAAGAACCCCGGGGCCACTGGCCTTTCTTCAAGTGGAGCTTGCGACGGAGTGGCCGGTCGCTGCGGAGCCGTCGCAGGGCTTGGCATTCACTCCTTGCGGCTTCGCCGGGCTTTTTTGGGTTCAGGGGCTTAGGGCCGGGTTGAGGGGTTTAGTGGCTTCGGGGTTAAGGCTTCCATGGGTTTAGAGGTTTAGGGTTTGGGGGTGTAGGTTACTTTTTTCATGTAGGTGGTTCCCAAACAACTTGAGGATCCTCCTGTTGATTCGGGCTGTGTCTCTGGGTAGTTCTCCAAGGTCAGGGTCCCTTTCAACTAGGGGTCCCCAAAATAGTGTTTTTCTAGTCAAACTAAGTTTTTCCACACAAACTGCGGATTGGGCCGACCGGGTTTCGTCTGCGTTGCGTTTCCGGGCGTGGGTCATCTGCTGGCTGCCGTCTGGCTGGATCAGGCCTTCAAGAGGGGCCGCTATAATTCGAACAGGCCTTTGGGGGCTGAGTATCCTAACCCAGAAAAGTTTTTTTGTCAATTATATGGTAGGATTATCTAAACCCCAACAGGTTAAAGGTTACATACTCAGCTACGAAGGGGCTCTGGGGGGATATGACACAGTAACTCAGTAACCATACAGTGACAACGGCTCGCTTTCTTGCAGGGCCTATAAGAGTCAAAACCCGAAGGTCGCGACGCCACCCACTCCGCAAGTGGGCGGACGAGCCTGTGCTGCAGCTTCGCAGCCGTCAGTTGCCGACAGGCTTTGCAGAATGTCACGGCGCCTTGTGTCTGGTGTACATTCATTCAACAAGCAAGCTTGCAAAGGAGTCGAGAAGGGTCACATGCTACTCACATGGCTGCCGTGCGGAATGTTTATGGCAAAGCTTCCGCAGGAGGCGATGGATGCACCATCCCTCCAGCCGTTCCACTACCTCTTCGCAGCTGGAAGCCCCTTGGCGTGCCAAGCGACGGCATCGAGGACAGCGGGTGCCGTCAGCGCCGACGGCTTTCAGGCAGCGACTGTATCAAGCCAGGGTTAACCCGAAACCCCAAACCCCTATACCCTAAACCCTACCCTTTAAGATGCGGACACATTGCACTTTGCAGTGTTGACAGTCGGAAGCTCCCGGCTACTTGTCTGCCACAACCCTTTATGCGCTCAACTCCGAGCCTGCAATACTTTGCCAGCGCCCAGTCGTGTAGCACAGCCACCACGGGGGCACAGCGGAAGACAACCTTCCGGTCTCGGCAAGATCCATGCTGCAATGAGCTCACTGCGCTAAACCCTGAACCCTAAACCCTCAAACCCTACACGCTACATGTGCTGACATTGCCGAAACGCTTCCCCGTCTGTGAACGTTGCAAGTCCACTCGAATTTAATTTACAGACATAGTGAAGCACCAACGGCTCCTACGTTCATTAACTTGGAAAGCCCCGATCAGACTTGACTTCTGCATATATCCTTAAACCCCTCTCCAACACAGTGTTCCAATCATATTAAGGCGCATCCTTGGAGCAACATGGGCTTTAGTAAGTACAGATATGAGTACCCTATTTGGAGTTATAAGTAGTCAAAAGTATAGCTGCCGTATTTATACAAAGTCCCTTGATCCTTGAAGGACTGCTGATACCATAATTCCTGAATACACTAAGGACCCTAAGCTATGGGAATAATGCTATATCCCTCATTATGGGTAATGCAGGACACACACACACATATATATATATATATATATGTATATATATATATATATACATACATATGTCAACCGTATGGTGCCTCAGCAATCATTTAGGGCCCTATGTCATGGTACCCTTATAGATCCCGTATAGTAACTCTTAGTAGAACGCTTTAAAGAAACCCATTGTGCCTTAGTATGACTGGACTTTGAAGTAACCACGGAGAAAAAGGTATAGACTTTTACTTCAGAATGGTTCCTTTGAGGAGCAGGTACCAAACAAGAATGCAGGTATGGTACTCCAAACCCCAAAGGGTCCTGTGTACTGCTATGTTGGATGCTTCCCTAAGGCATAATAGTAATTCCCAGTATGGAAACCCTACATTCTACTATATTGGTACATGGGACCCTTTGGGTTCTCCTCGTCTCAAGCACTCCAAACCCTAAACCCCTTAAACCCTAAACCCTGAAAAAGGTACATAGGAACCCAGGAGAATGAATCCTCGGGCCTCGCCCTTGGAAATGTCGCGACTGGCAGCGAGTCCGCGGCCACTTCGCGTCTCCTCAGCTGCATTCGCTCTAGACCCAAAGGCCCCAAAGTAGTTCCCTTTTGGGAATCATATTCAGAATCCTAAAAGGTAATACCAAAAAAGAACTGCTTTGGGGCCTATGGGTATACCCAAAGGGTCCTTTCAATGGTGCCATAGGGCTCTTTGATAGGGTTGCCTTTAAGGGTTGAAGTTTAGGGTTAAAGGATCATGGTACTTAGCTCGGGGTTACTACCCAAGGGGTCCTGAGTACCTAGATGGGGGATAAGATACCTCAACTATAATCGTAGTTCTTATAAAGAAACCCTACTTTCTGATATAAGTACTCAGGACCTTTTGGGTATACCAACTACAACATGATGATCGACGATGTGCCTGGCCTACCAGTAGGACGCTGAAGTCAAGCGGGCTCCGATTCACCACAGCGCTCCCTTACATCAGGAAACATGCACCCGCTGCTTGGGCGGGAAAAGCATCAACTAGATGCTGGAATCATGGATTATTGCAACAGGAACGATTACATACCTCAGGGACTCAGCAAAACAACAAGCAAGATGTTTAACTCCCTAAAGAGCAAAGTCTAAGCGGCCCTCTTGCCGTCTAGACATGCCGGGATGGAGAGGAGCTTTGACAAGTTAGTTGGGATGGCTTCCTAAAGGCACTACAAGTCACTCTAACGATAGCCTCCTAAGCAACTCGGCGGATGATGTCCATGCACAGAAAAAACTCAAAACAGTCAATATCAACTTGCTGAGATTTCAAGGAAACGAAAGTTGATGGTCGAAGTTCCACCAGGCGGATCGGAAAGCTGTCTTCCTCAGCGATGGTAGGCGGTTGTGGCGAGTTTGCAAGTACAAACAAGCACGGCCGATTCTTGACGGGCCATTGCTGTTTAATGTAGGGGCCTTGATAGTTAGACTAGAGCTCTGTGGATATTCTCAGTATACTTCTAACCGGGAACCCTAGGCAAGAATGTTGGCAATTCCTCAGGCTTCTATACTGCATGCACAAGGCAATAGGTAGCTTGTGGAGTTTCTCCAGAGCAGGTGCACGTGGCAACATAGCTGTATATTAGGGCTTAAGAATTGCGGCTGTTGTGGTATAGCATACTATCGATTTTCAAGCTTCTAAACTACGGCACGGGTCATTTCAAGGTGGGCAGGCAGCGACATCAAAGCAAACTTTGCTGCAACCAGCTTCCAGACTGCGATGTAGGGGCCTTAACAAGTAGAACAGGGCTCTGACATGTATGTCTTGTTTATATCTATCATCAACACAGAAGTAGTTGTGACTATTCGGTCTCATCACCACCCCATTCTATTAACCCATAATGGAATGGTTGCAGGAACCCTTATGCACGGCTGAATCCCAAAGCTTTGCGAGCCGAGATTCCATGTTGCTAGGGCCCGGCTGGCATTGCGTCGGAAGTGATAGGATTACCAATGGTGTTAATACTAATGTCCATGCCCGTGCATGTAATACGAATATTCATATTCATACTCATACTGCTACGAATCATAACAGTGCTTCTACCGCGGTGGCACACGGCCAAATCCCGATCAAGGCTGGATGACCAGCCACCGTGCTGGTGTCCAACTTACAAAATATTCTCACTCGATATGATGTACAATAAGATTAAAAGCCCAAACATAGATACATTAATGTAATTTAGCATTGAAACATGTTAGTGTTCTACAATATATATATATATGTATATATTAGAAGATCTTCTAATATGTTATATATTGCAACGTATTGCCATGTGTGTCGAGGTTGTAGCTTGCCCAAGCTTATAAACTCCTCACAGAGGAAGCCTGGAGCCGAATGATGCCCGGTGCCACCGTTGCTCCCTGGGGCTCCACGTGCCTATGAGGGGGCCTGTAAGGGTTCCTTTAAGGATTCCCATATAGTATATCCTAAAGCGTTACCGGGGTGGAGTCCCTAAAAGGTACTTTGAGGCCTCAATTTGTACTACAACGCTGCCTAGGTTCCTGCATCTCCTTGGGGCCTCGACACAACCCCAAATCCCTCAATCCCTATACTCAAGGAGACCCCGGAAGGAAACCGTTTAGGAACCCTGTAAAGAACCCTAAAGCAACGCCAGCCTGAGAGGCGACGGAGGTCAAGGCCGAGCGGGTGAGCTTCTTTGGTCCCTGAGGCGTCAGGGCAGGTGCCATTTAAGGGTACCTCCCTTTAAGGGCTTGGAGTGTGCCTTTTAAGGGTACTGGAGGTTTCCCTTAAAGGGTTCAAAGTGCCGTCTAAGGATACCAGAGGGCTCCATAGCAGGATTCCCTTTAAAGGTTTAGGGTTAAAAGGATTATGGGACTTAGCAGCCGTTTTCAAACAGGAACTGCACTTACAATTACTGTAACTATAACCCCAGTTAAGGTATAACCGTACTGACTTGCCAAGTCCCATGAACCTCCAAGTAAGACAGCAAGGTTTCTGACCCAACAAGAAGACAAGAAACTCTGAGCCCTCTGAACCCTAAAATCCCTAAACTGTAAAACTCAAAGCCTATAAACCCCTGTGAACCTTGCGGGCTCAGCTCGGGCCACTCGGGTTCGAGTGCAAGAATAGGTTTCCCCCAGTATGTCTAGGGCCAAACCCTTTAAACCTTATCCCCCAAACGCTAAAATTGTAAACCTTCAACCCTTAACCCCAACACCCTAGCCCTAGAACCCTAAAGCCCCGTAGCCCCAAATCCGTAAACCCTCAACTAGGAGGTGCTTTTAAAGCCTTTGCAACCAATTAGTAGGCAAGATCCTCTTAAGCCCAATAAGAGCAAGTATGAAATGTCCCAAAGCTCTACCTAGGCAGAAGCCCAAGCCATCGCCGGACCCTTTGCCGAGTCCCCCGGCGACAGCCAATGCCGCAGCCGCAGCAAGCCCCGGAGCTGGGCCTCTGCATCTGCTTTTTTAAAGGGCTCTTAAAGGGATCTACGAGGGTTTATGTAACCCGGATTCTGGGGATTCCTTCTTTTAGGGTTTTTAAAGGATCTTTAAAGGTTTTATAGGGGTTCAGGGATTGTGGTAGGGTGTAGGGTTTCGAGGAAAGGGTCTTTTGGGGTTTATACTGGGGCCGTAAAAATCAGAGTAGGGTTCCTTTAAAGGGGACTATAAGGGTTACTATAAGGGAGACTAGGAGGGTACTATCATATAGGGGCTTTAATCAATAATGAGAATAAGGCATCTTGCTGAGCTCTTATCTTTTGGGCTTCTACTGTAGGGGGTTTATATACGGTTTAGGGGTTGAGGGATTCTGGGTTTATATAAGTGTTTTGTAGGGGTTCCGAGAAAGGGATCTGTAGGGGTTGAATAATTGATCTTTTGTTGAGGTTTTATCGGGTTTCCTAGAAAGGGATCTCTACAATTTTGGGAGGTTGTGTAGGGGTTCCAAGAAAGGGATCTATAGGGATTTAATGATTCTACATCTTTTGGGGGAACTCTGTGCGTTTATGGTGGTGTAAGACGTGTAGGTTTCGGGATTGGTTCTCCTTTAAAAATTAGGGGTACCTTATTTTGGGATACTTATAAAAAGGATCCTACTTTTTAGGGTGCTCCATAAGGGTCCCCTATTTTCGGAAACCCTTGCCTGTGGGATCTCGGTACTTGTTTGTACCTGGGGAATAGTTGGGCTTTGAGCGCTAATAAACTTGTACATTTCTCTTGCACTTCCTGGAAGACGGCTTCGGCTCTCCGAAAACCCTGTACATCAAACCCTAAACTTCTGAATAGGGGCTTCTTTTTCTGGTTTTAGGAGTTCCTTTACAGGGATCCATAGGGGTTCCTGAAGGGTCTCTATATGCGATCGATAATCAGGGAAGCGCTAAGGTGCCTTCTAAGATGCTGTTGCAAAGACCGGTGCAGCTTTCTGGAGTTCTTTGTCTTGACCGGCATGGGCGGGACTCTGTGGCGATGCAGGGGCTATGGAAATGGGAGTTTCCGAACAGAGGGGACCCGAATATAGCACCCGAAATAGTAAGATCCTTGTTATAAGGACCCCAAAATAAGGTACCCCGAATTTTCGGAAACTCTAAACCCTAAACCCTTCATAAAACCCTTATAGATCCCTTTAAGGAACCCTTAAAGGATCCCTTTAAAGGTGCCCCTAATTTCCGGAAACTCCCAAATCTCAGTGCTGGGAGCTCGGGTGTGAGAACGCATGCTCGTCACTCCACACAGGAGGCATAAGCGGAAGCTCGAGGGAACGGCACTAGGATGCCCAGTGGCTCCCTTGTTGGTATTGGATAACTTTATAGGGAACCCAGGGCTACAAAGAGGGAATAAGGGTACTAGTGGGCATCCTAGGGCAGAGAAACTCGAACTCACAATGTACACTGACACTGCCGTGCCGAACTAAACCCGAAACCCTGCGCGGTTCTTCGGGCACAGGTAACTACTGCCTTTCCCTTTGCCACAGACGCGACCAGGACACCCTTAAACCCGAGGGTGGCAGTGAGTCCAAAGCACTTCTCGATCATCACCCCTCAAAACAACCACAGGTCGAGAGCCTTTGGGTTTCAATATTTAGGGTTTAGGCCGTCACGCATGGAAGTGAAGTGATGTGAAATGAAGTTTTGGGGAATATGGGCCCCTTGCAAGCGAAAGCTTGTCCCCATGACCAGCCCATCCACGCGCCTCGTTGCATCAGCAGTGCAACTTGCGAGCGCAGGGTCTCCACCTTCAAGGATCTCAGGGTTCTTCAAGAGATAGCACAAAGGTACGGTTGAGGGCTCAAGCATGTAAGTTTAGAGATAAATCTCCCTTAAGCCCTAAATCCCTTTAAAAACCTCGGCCCGACGTATTCCTAAACCCCTATAACCCCAGGCCCTATAACCCCGAAGCCCTAAAGCCCTGACTCCCTAAACTCCTAGACCCTAAACACCTAAAACCCAAAACCCCCGCAAGCTAAAAGCCTAAATTGTAAAGCCCTAACTCCCTAAACCCCTCATCCTAACCCCTTAACCCGTAAACCCCTAAACCCCTGGTGCCGGAATCACCCGGCCTCTTTCTCGAGGTCGCTGCGGTGGCGCCGCTCCAGGGACAGCTGCCGACGCTTCTCCTTCAGGTCTTTAGGGTCTAGGGTTCTAAGTGCCCTAGGCAGTACAGCTTTGCTGAGTTTTCACTCAAAAAAAATAAGTGCCCTGTAATGATGCATTTATGGTACTTAATAGTAGGTATTTAATGAACCCAGAGCCTCCAGTTTTGGGTTTTAGGGTTTAGGAGCTTCGGGTTTAGTGGTTTAGGGTTGAAGGTTTAGGGTTTAAGGGTGGATGCTATCCAGGAACTCCCAAAGTCCTGAAATGAGGAATTACCTTCAAATGATATTAGGTTCCTATTATGATTTAAGGCAAATTCCTGATTTAAGGGGTTTTAGAGGCTCAGAGTCATAAGGTTACTATATTATGATAAGCTCATTACACAATACAACACACAAAGGACATTTACTTTACCACGGTATGTTTATATAAATAAATAAATAAATAAAAAATATATATATATATATATATATAGATATATAAATATATATAGATATAGTATGGAACACAAGGGCAGAAGGAGAAGCGTTCCCAGGGGCGACTCTTCAGGTAGCTGCCGGAAGTCCTTACAAAAAGAAGGCGTGGATGACGAATTAGGGCTTATCTGGACCCCGAAAGTATGTAGAATAATAGCCTTTGTTGTGCAGGCGTTGGGAAACTATTTTACCTACCTTTTGGGCAGGCTTGGGCTGGGTTTAGGGTTTGAGGTTCCCGAGCATGGTCAAGATGATGGGCATGGGAGTGATCCACCCATCAACAGTCTGTTCTGGGCGAGAGTTTAGGGGTTTGGGGTTTAAGGGTTTAGGGTTTAGGTTGGGTTCAGGGTTTTTGGGGTTTAGGATTTAGTGGCAGATCTCATGCTACCCCAAGCGTGCAGGCAAGTGTGGCACCCTGTTTGACGCAAGCTTTGCCCCTGGTCACGCGCCGTGTCTACTGCTAGGAACAGACGCTGGCTTGCTGCCAAGCGGAGCATGCCACTGAGGTTTTGCAGGTCGGTAGATGGGAGAAACAGTAGTAGTAGCCAGAAAGTTGGAACATCATTATCCTCATGCCCTTAAGGTAAAGTATAAGGGATCCTAGCACGAATCTTCCTAAAGTGATCTTCCAACTTTCTGGCTTCTACTAAAGATCGGAGAATGATGCAGGATGCTCCACCCGAGAGCAACCAGACTCACTTGGCATCTGTGCGCTGCAGTTGGTTCTAGGGCCCCAGTGCAGTTAGCATGGCACCAAGCTCCAGCAGCTTTCTTATCTCGGTGGTCTGCGCAGGACTCCAATGGCTGCGCGACAGGTTACGGAAGGTGATGATGATGGCTACAAGACCGAACAAGAGGATGAGACCGATGATGATGCCCGCTGAAATTTCAGGATGTTTGTCGGATGTCGATGAGACTGGCGATGTTGTTATCTGCATCCGAGGGTGGAAAGCCGTGGGAGCTCGCCTCGCTCTCCCTTAATTACTCTGGCAGTCTTCAGGGGTCCAAATGCAGGTTGTGCCGTTGAATAAAGACGTACTCATCAGCTCTGGGCTGGACGGCTGAAGGGCGCGCATCACCGCTTCTTCCTTTGACGGAACCCATGACGGAATCCTGAAGAGCTCCTTTAAGGAATCCTTACGAGCGCCTGTAAGCAGCCCTATTTTTGGAATTCTATAGTCCCCTGTAAAGGGACCCTATGAGAGAAGCCTACCATACCCTTTAAGGGATCCATAGGGTTCCTTCATAAAGGGGACCCTGTTATAGAACCCTATAGGCCCTGTAGTACGCTTTAAGGGATCCTTCGGGATCCTTTTATTAAGGGACCCCTGAAAGGGGACCCTATTATATAGAACCCTGTAGGGGCTGTAGTACCCTTAAACGACCTTTTAAGGGATCCCATCCCACCCTCGTTCACGGCCATGGCCCGCACAAGAACTCCCTGCAGGGCTCCCGAGGAATCCAACAGCGAGGCAACGGAGCCACCGGAAAAGCTGAGCTGTTGCAAAGACGCTGAAGAAGAAAGGATGATGATGAAGAAGATGAAAACAGAGAATAACAAGAATGAGACGATCACCGGTGAAGAGCGATGATGATGATGACGATGATAGCGGTTGGGCTGATGACTAGATGGTGATGATTCTGGTTCCTCGTGAAAGATGGCAGTGGTGGTGATGACGCCGACTGAGGCCGTTACCATTGATTTTCCCACAGTTGCTACCGTTCACCCCAAGCAGCAACAGTAGCACGGAAAGCAAGCCCTGGGCAAAGGGTACCCAAGCTTGTGTTTCCAATTGTATATACATACATACATACATTCGTGTAGAATTTACCCTTATGTGTACATACATGCGAATCATGCAGACGTATGCACATACAAATGTGCACAAACATGTACAGCTTCTCACTTCTGTGTATTCGCTCATCCATCTCTCTGTGTCTACAGGTGGTCATGTGCAAGGATCTTTACCAACAGCCTTGGCATGGCAGTATTAAGGTCCCCTTACTTAAAGCCTACACGAGTCTCTGTAAACCCAATGTAGGAACCTGATTAAGAAACCCTGGCCCTATAACCCCCAATATATTAGGACTCATATAAAGAACCCTAATAAAGGACCAAGGTTTCTTGATCAGAATGAAAGATCCCTTAAAGATCCCCTAAAGCATAGTTAAAAATTAAGGTTCCTACATTAAACACTAAATCCGCCGGGCCTGAAGAGTCTCTCCAAGCTCCTGCCGACTTCATGGCTGCTACTATAGGATCCGTTGAAGGAGTCCTACAGATCCAGAGACCCCTTAAAGGATCCTATAGATCCCTTAGTAGCGGATGCAAGGGGTTGCTGGAATCTCCCGAACGTCGGGGCGGTTGCACCTAAACATAGAGGTTTAGGGTTAGGTTGACTGAATCCCCCCGTGACTATCGGGGCAGGTACATCCTTAACCCTACACCCTTAACCCTAAACCCCTACCCAAACGTAGGACCTTTGCTTTGGATGATCTTGGCTCAACACTGTGGCCTCGCTGACACTAGAATCGAATCAGCCCCGCACTGCATGAGACCATTTCGCGAAGACAAGTTTAGGGCTTAGGGTTTAGGGTTTAGAGCTTAGGGTTTATAGGGTTTAGGGTTCCGGGCTTAGGGTAAGGGACGTCTAGGATGCCAACAGAGAGCGCAAGAGACTACAAAGCTACCGTTGGAAACTGCATGTACTCCCTGAACAGAGAAGCTTCCTGATCATAAAGCACTTGTCATGAAGTAAGACGCTCTACAGTAGCTCCTTCGCGAAATGGTCAAAAGCTTCTTGTTGCAGCTTTTGCAGGATGGTTGCATCCGACTTCGGCTGTCCGAATGCAAACTGAGAGCACAGCACTGCATGGCTTCGTGGGGTGCATCGTCTAGGTTTTCCTTGTCATCCCCGGCGCTTCTGATTGCTTCGAGTGACTTGCATGGTCTGAACTTGCGACCCGTGTATTTCCTGTCTTGCATCCTCAGCCATGGAGGCCTTTGAAACACGTGATTCAGCAGCAGGCCAAACACTTGGTGGAAGTGGTAGGGATGTGCAGTGTCTTCCGTCTTCCACTCTGTTGCCAAGCATGGTCCGCTGCATTTCCCCTCAGATATGCAAGCACCACCTTTCCACATGTCGTAGCAAAAGTTAGGACGTTAGGCTACTTCTTGGCACTGTTGAGGTGTGGACGACGACGACGACAAACAGGAGGAAGACTTCTCCAAAGGAATCTGGTCTCAATGCCTCAAGGCTGCCTCAAGGCAAAATGAAGCGGATGAAGTGCTGCCGCCAGTGCGTACAGAATATATAGAAGCCGGAATGCATATGAAGAGACCATTCCTTGGCACTTCATGTTGCAAATATGTCAAAACCGCATACCCAGAAACCCGACTCTGTTTATGAGGGCCCGTTGTTGCAAATGTATATATTGAAATCGCATACCCAGAAACCCATTTCTATTTGTGAGGGCCCGTATATTGAGTCCTCCAGCCTCCCAAACCCTGTATCAACAGTGGCGACAGACGTGAAGGGGTTCGGGCAATAGCAGCGGTACCTTGTGTATGGTCCTTACAGTAATGACCCGACAATCTGGTACTTGGAGTATTGGTCTCAGTCAAAAGCCTGCGGCCGTCCTTCATGCTACCGCTCTGCAGCTGAATGCCACCGCTCTACAGCTGAATCAACCTAAGATAGCGGCCTTCATAATTCGAACAGGGTTTTGGGGCGCATTATCCGAAAACTATCATGAGGAACTCCAAATAGTATTGATAATTGGGTAGGCCCCCAATATCAATCGTTTCGAGACGGTGCACGCTGTGCTCTCTTCCTGCCTATTGACTCGCACGTTTCGCAGCGAGCTGTCTAAATGGCTACCTATAGGCTCCATCGTAGTTCCTTTCTGGGGTTTATATTTAGAATCCTAACAAGGTAATTAATTAATCCCCAAAAAGGAACTACTATGGAGCCTATGGCTAAGGACGTCCCCAGGCCTTTCAGACATCTTTCCGACGGACCACAACCTTATGGATACTGGCAGCGCCATTCGCGCTGATGAACATAGGGTTCCGTTACAGGGGTCTGTAAGGGTTACTATAAGGGATCTATTATAAGGGTACGATAATATGGGGGCCTCTTCTTGTAAGATGTGCAGTCAAACATCAACCACAACAGCTTCGATGCCAGACTCCAAGAATAAAGTACGGCTACCTCATGCGGGAAAGACATATCGAGACCACTGTGTGGTCTGGACCTTAGTGGACGAATGATTCGCGAATTCTTGCACGAAGCCCCGCGATTAATCGGGAACATCAGCAGACCGACATCCCGTCTTCGGCGTGAAGCTTGATTGCATGGCATGTTTTAACTCGGCGTCACTTCTTGTAGACTTGTGTAGAACTTGTGAACAATAGCTGGCCTTGCATGATGCAAACTGTTACCTTACACTTACAGCGTCATCTTGTTGGTCTTACATCTCCGGAGCTCGAACCTAGCAGACACTGCAGCAGACTGCAAGCGACAGCAACCGCACAAGCGATGTCTTGCGATGTTAACCTGCTTGGGATGGTACTGACGTCGCGAAGCTACGTCTCAAGCTCACGGATGGCAGCAGCCACTTCTGGATTTCTCGACCTGTCCAGGGTCGTGCTGTTCGTGAAATCGCGACAGCTGGCCCCACTCCCTCCTCCGTCTCTCCTCTCCCCCTTCACCCCGCCCCCAACCCCCACAGAGAGAGGCCTTAATCCCTGAACCCCTCAACCCTGAACCCGAAACCCCTAAACCCCTAAACCCCTGAACCCAAACTAAATCCGTAAAACCTAGACCCTAAACCGCAGCACCTAGAGGCCTCAATAATTAGAACAAGGTCTTGATGCATAGTACCGTATAAATATCACAACGAACCCCAAAACGATATAGGTAATCATTGCTAATATTGTTATTGTTGATATTATTCTTATTCTTACAATTATTAAGGCCCCTCTCTTGACAGCGACCCCGATGCCTGATGAACTTTCTGCGTACCGCCTGCCAGGGCGACTGCGGCGCTGCCTGCAAAAGGCCAGGAAAGCCATGCCTTGGGGTCTATAGGGTTTATAGGTTAAGGGTTGGGGTTTACCAGGGTTTAAGGCTTTGCCAAAAGCTGGTATGCCTCGGAACATCTTCCAAAAGGGTCCTAAGTACTTATATCGGGGATACTTACCCGAACCGTATTGGCAACTCCCATTACAGAAATCATGGTTGGGATAAAATGAAAATGTGGATTTCTATTCCTTGTTGAATTTAAACTCCCACAAAATCGTAACTTTCTTCCCAACTATGACAAAGCTACTACTAGGGGGTGCCATACAGGATACTTCAAATTATGAGATCTTGGCGTTTCCGGAACATCAAGGAGTGGCCACGACAAACCCATAGACTCGTCGGAAATGGCTCGGAAAGTCTCTATGACAAAAGAAGCAAGTTCCCAGCATGTCCTGTGCCGCACGACAAGG